CTCCAAAATAGACCATATAGCTGGTCACAAAGCAAGCCTCAACAGATACATAAAGACAGAAATAATCCCTTGTATTCTATCTGACAACCATGGACTAAAGCTGGACCTCAACAACAACAGAAATAGCAAAAAGCCTATATATACATGGAAACTGAATAACTCGCTACTCAATGACAGCTGGGTCAGGGGAGAAATAAAGAAAGAAATCAAAGACTTCCTAGAATTCAATGAAAATGCAGGTACAACATACCCAAACTTATGGGACACAAAGAAAGCAGTGCTAAGAGGAAATTTCATAGCACTAAGTGCCTTCAAGAAGAAATTCAAAACATCTCATACAAGCAACTTAAAGGCTCACCTGAAAGCCCTAGGGGGTAAAAAAAAGAAGCAGAAATACCCAAAAGGAATAGATGTCTGGAAATAATCAAACTCAAGTATGAAATCAGTAAGTTAGAAACAAATAAAACAATTAAAAAAAAAAATCAATGAAACCAAGAGCTGGTTCTTTGAGAAAAATCAACGACATAGACAAACCCTTAGCCAAACTAACTAACTAAAAGGCAGAGATATCATCCAAATCAACAAAAGCAGAAATGAAAAGAGGGACCTAACAACAGATACTGAGGAAATCCAAACAAGCATTAGGTCTTACTTCAAAAACCTATATGCCACAAAATTTGAAAATCTAAATAAAATGGACAATTTTCGTGATCGATTCCACTTGCCAAAGCTGAATCAAGAACAGGTAAATCAACTAAATAGTCCTATATCCCCTAAGTAAATAGAAGCTGTCATAAAAAGTCTCCCCTGCAAAAAAAGCCCAGGGCCAGATGGTTTCAGTGCAGAATTCTACCAGACCTTCAAAGAAGAGCTAACACCAACAATATTCATACTATTCCACAAAATAGAAATAGGAGGAACATTACCAAACTCATTCTATAAAGCCACAGTCACATTGATACCTGAACGTCAGAAAGATCCAACAAAGAAAGAGAATGTCAGGCCAATCTCTCTTATGAACATTCATGCAAAAATACTCAATAAAATACTTGCAAACCAGATCCAAGAACACATTACAGATATCATCCACTATGACCAAGTAGGCTACATCCCAGGTATGCAGGGGTGGTTCAATATAAGGAAATCGACCAATGTGATCCACCATATTAACAAACTGAAAGAAAAAGACCACATGATAATCTCCTTAGATGCTGAAAAAGCATGTGATAAAATCCAACACTCATTTATGTTTAAAGTCCTGGAGAGATCAGGTATACAAGGTACGTACCAAAACATAGTAAAGGCAATATACAGCCTTTACTGTATATAGCCAACATCAAACTAAACGGAGAGAAACTTAAATCAATCCCAATGAAATCAGGGAAAAGGCAAGGCTGCCCACTCTCTCCGTATCTCTTCAACATAGTGCTGGAAGTCCTTGCTGGAGCACTAAGACAATTAAATGTGATAGAGGATCGGATTCAGTTTGGAAAGGAAGAAGTCAAAGTATCATTATTTGCAGATGATATGATAGTATACCTGAGTGAGTCCAAAAATTCTACCAGGGAACTCCTACAGCTGATAAACACCTTCAGTAAAGTGGCTAGATACAAAAATCAACTCAAACAAACAAACAAACAAACAAACAAAAAATCAGTAGCCCTCCTGTATACAAAAGACAAAAGGGCTGAGAAAGAAATTAGGGAAACAACACCCTTCCCAATAGCCACAAAGGACATAAAGTACCTTGGTGTAACTCTAACCAAGAAAGTCAAAGACTTGTATGAAAAAAAACTTTCAGTCTCTGAAGAAAGAAATAGAAGAAGATATCAGGAGATGGAAAGTTCTCCTATGGCTTGGCAAGATTAACATAGTAAAAATGGCTACTTTACCAAAAGCAATCTACAGATTCAATGCAATTACCATCAAATTACCAACACAATTATTTGCAGACCTTGGAAGAAAAATTCTCAACTTCATACGGAATAACAAGAAACTCAGAATTGATAAAACAATCCTCTACAATAAAAGATCTTCTGGAGGTATGTATCTCCATCCCTGATCTCAAGCTGTACTATAGGGCAACAGCAATAAAAACTGCATGGTACTGGCATAGAAACAGAATAGTGGATCAATGGAATTGAATAGAAGACCCAGAAATAAACCCACACATTTATGGACACCTGGTTTTTGACAAAGATGCCAAAACCATTCAATGGAAAAAAGACAGCATCTTCAACAAATGGTGCTGGTCTAACTGGATGTCTACATGTAGAGAAATGCAAATAGATTCATACTTATCACCCTGCACAAAACTGAAGTCCAAGTGGATCAAAGACCTCAACATAAAACCAGACACATTAAATCGGTTAGAAGAAAAAGTGGGGAATACCCTTGAACTCATTGGCACAGGAGACAACTTCCTGAACAGAACAACAGCAGCACAGGCTCTAAGAGCAACAATCAATAACTGGGATCTCATGAAACTGAAAAACTTTTGTAAAGCAAAGGACTCTGTCATCAGAACAAAACAACAGCCTAAAGATTGGGAAAGGAGCTTCATCAACTCTACATCTGACAGAGGGCTAATATCCAGAAGATATAAAGAACTGAAGAAGTTAAATAGCAAAAAAATCAAGTAATCCAATTAAAAAATGGGGTACAGAGCTAAACAGAGAATTCTCAAAAGAGAAATATCGAATGGCAGAGAAACACTTAAAGAAATGCTCAACATTCTTAGTCATCAGGGAAATGCAAATCAAACGACCCTGAGATTTCACCTTACACCCACCAGAATGGCTAAAATAAAAAACTCAAGTGACAACATATGCTGGAGAGGATGTGGAAAAACAGGAACCCTACTCCATTGCTGGTGGGAATGTAAACTTACACAACCACTTTGGAAATCAATCTGGCGTTTTCTCAGACAATTAGGAATAGTGTTACCTCAAGATCCAGCTATACCACTCCTAGGCATATATACAAAAGATGCTTAAGTATATAACAAGGACATTTGCTCAACCACGTTCACAGCAGCTTTATTTGTAATAGCCAGAACCTGGAAACAACCCAGATGTCCCTCTGTTGAGGAATGTATACAGAAATTGTAGTACATTTACCCAATGGAATACTACTCAGCAATTAAAAACAAGGAAATTATGAAATTTGCAGGCAAATGGTGGGATCTAAAAAAGATCATCCTGAGTGAGGTATCCCAGAAGCAGAAAGACACACACGGTATATACTCACTTATAAGTGGATATTAGACATATAATATAGGATAATCGTACTAAAATCTGTACACCTAAGAAAGCTAATCAAGGAGGACCCTGGGTAAGATTATCAATCTTTACTCAGAAAGGCAAGTGAGATGGACATTGGAAGAAGGAGAAAACAGGAAACAGGACAGAAGCCTACCACAGGGCCCCTGAAAGATTCTACCAAGTAGTGTATCAAAACATATGCTGAGACTCATAGCCAAACTTTGGGCAGAGTGCAGGGAATTTATGAAAGAAGGGGGAGATAGAAATACCTGGAGGGAACAGGAACTCCACAAAGAGAGCAAAAGAACCAAAAAATATGGGCACAGGGGTCTTTTCTGAGACTGATACTCCAACCAAGGACTATGCATGGAGATAACCGAGAACCCCTACACAGATGTAGCCCATGGAAGGTCAGTGTCCAAGAGGGTTCCCCAATAATAGGAACAAGGGGGTGTCTCTGACATGAACTCAGTGGCTGGCTCTTTGATCACCTCCCACCAATATAGAAGTAACCTTACCAGTCCACAGAGGAAGACAATGAAGCCAGTCCTGATGAGACCTGATAGACCAGGGTCAGATGGAAGGGGAGGAGGACCTCCCTTATCATTGGCCTGGGGGAGAAGCATAGGAGAAGAAGAGAGAGGGAGGAGGGGATTGCGGAGGGGGCTACAGTTGGGATACAAAGTGAATAAAGTGTTATTTAAAAAAAAAAAAAAAAAGAATCATATATAGGAAAAGAAAACCAACAGTTTGAGGAATAAAAAAATCAGCAGGAAGGAAATAGATGAACAGAGTTCAAGGAAGGGATGGACAACAGTAAGAAAAGTAATACAACTGGCTTTAAAAGGCATGGAAATGAACTGGTTTTTCAAGTAATTATTTTTATGTGCACAGGTGTTTTACCTGCACATATGTTTCTGTACCACATGTTTGCCTTGTATCCAGGGACTGGTGTTGGATCCTCTGAGACGGGAATTACAGAGAGTTGTGAGCTACCATGTGCATGCTGGGAATTGAACCCAAGTCCTCTGGAAGAGTTGCCAATGTTCTTAATTGCTGAGCTATCTCTCCAGCCCCTCCGGGTGCATTATCTTGATTAAGTTAATTGAGCCACAATGATTTGCCCACTGTGGGTGGCACATTCTTTAGGCTGTTTCATACCTTCCCAGTTGAAAATGAGCGAAAAATATAGGAGCAGAGATGTGAGAAATACTGAGAAGATGGAGTATAACCCTTGAACAGTAGTTGGACGGGGTGTACGATCGAGGGAGGTCTACTGCCTAGAAAATGGGTAATTGTACAGAGGCTTCAAAACTGAAACAAAAGATTCCATATACACCAAGGACAGGAAAACATTAGGGCAGCCACAGCATAAAACCAATAGTGAATGCCTTAAACAGACTAACTGTTCTACCACTTAAAGCAAATGAAATGTAGATCTGGATTTTCTTACATAATAGGTTAATCTTAGTGTTTTTTCTCCACAGAACAAAGTATCTCTCTGTTTATAAAATAGTAGGAACAACAAATGATGAAAAAATGTACACCATTACCCCAGAAACAATTTTTACTTCATGAATACAGGCTTCAAGGCAAATGACATATAACTCAAAAACATACATAATTACATAGGCTTACCCATAAAATATTCTCACAAAATATTCTTGTTAAAAAATTAAACAAGCTACAACTTTGAACAGTAGTTTGAAAAACAAAACAAAAAAGAAACCAACATACCGCATCCCTCACAGAAGTACTTGATTTCTTGAGTGCACATAACTCTTTCTTCTTCTGTTCAATGTAGTATCTGATGTCTTTATTAAAAGAAGGACTGAGGATTAGCAATTTTACCTTCAGAGTTAAGTAGTGGTATCTTAAGTGGTGGTAATCTTATAAGAGTTTACCCCTGGAGGTAGTCCCGACTATCAAAATTTTTATTATGTAAACTTAAGAACTAAACACAGACATAGGCACTTACAACAAAGAGACCCTCTTACCATCAATATGAAGAATCCTTACTCCCCAGGATAAGGCGTTTGATAATATACTATTAGCAGGAATAAAATCCTATAAAAAAAAAAAAAAAACAAACAAGTTTGTCTAAAAAAACTACTATTTTTAAAAGGCCATTTAAATCTTAATATCACTGAAGAGGTTATGCATAAATGTCCCTAAAGAATTACAAAAGCAATAAGGACCTTGTTTTATATTTTGGCATTCTTAAATCAATCCCAATTAATATATTTCTATGTTCTGTTTAACACAAGGTCTCACTTTGTAGCCCTGGCTGGCCTGGCACTCAGAAATCCACCTGTCTCTCTGCCTCCCAAGTGTTGGTTATAGAGGCATGCCCATTACACCTGGCTTAACAATTAATGTATGTTCTAAGAAAACGTTCAAGTTTACAGTAAAGTTTCAGCCACAAGATGGGGGTGTTTCTCCAGGAAAAAGTAGCCTCTGTTTCTGACAGTGAGATGATGTCATAACTTAAGCTTTTTTCATTAACAATGAAAGAGCATCTCTGGACTATCTGCAATTTTCAGTTAAAAGCCGTGTGTGTGTGTGTGTGTGTGTGTGTGTGTGTGTGCGTGCGTGCGTGCGTGTGTGTGTGCATGTGTGTGTGTGTGTGCGTGTGTGTGTGTATGTGTGTGTGTGTGTATGTGTGTGTGTGTGTGTGTATGTGTGTGTGTGTGTATGTGTGTGTGTGTGTGTGTGTGTGTGTGTGTGTGTGTGTATGTACACATCAGTGTGCACGTGGAGACCCAAAGTCAGTGCCAGGTGCCTTTCTTCAATCATTGGCCACTTAACATTTTTTAAACAGTTATTTGCTCACGCAGAAAGTCACTGATTAAGCTATGCTGACTGGCCAAATAGCTTCAAGGACCTACCTGCCACACCGTCACCCCTCAAAGAACGTCAAGGGTGAGATTAAAGACACCTGTTGCCATGCAGGCTTTTTAGTTTTTATGTGGCTTTTGGGCATCCAAATTTAGGTTCCCATGTCTTCAATGACAGGCATTTTACCAAGTTTACTTCCAGCCCCAAGCTGAATATTTTTTATTATTTGTTTTATTTAGTTATTCTACATGTGTGCATGTCTGTGTGTAGGTACGCACATACCACAGTGTACCCTTGGAGATCAAAGGACAATTTGCAGGTGTCAGTTCTTTTCTTCCTCCGTCGAGTCGTAGCTATCTGACTCAGGCCACTAGTCTTGTCAGGAAGCAGCTTTACCAATGAAGCATGTTATAGCTGGTGTGGTAGTATGTCTCTATCATGCCAGCACTTGGAAGTCAAGCGATTTAGCAAATTTGAGGCCAGCCTGAACTACCTGAGAATCTGTCTCAGAAAACCAAATAAAGAAGCAAAATATGCACTGCACGCTTTTCTTTCCTTCCTCCCTGCATGACAGGGTCTCCAACCCTGGCTGGCTTTGAACTCCTTATTTGCTGAGGATGTCACTGAGCTTCTGGACTCTCTACATCTCTGATATTGTGATGACAGGTGTATGCTGCTCTCTATACCTATACCTAGCTTATGAGGCACCAGGGTCGAGCCAAGGGCCTCATCCGTGCTACACCAGCACACTGTTCCAACTGCCATCCAGCTCCAGTGAACCCTCACCCTGTGAATTTCAAGTTCCTACTCACATGATCCTTGACAGCTTTTTCAGCTAATAACTTTCCTCGGCTCAAACACACCTGTAAGAAGAGCAAGAAAACAAACAGCTGTAGTACTCCATTAGAGAAGGTTGGAATTATGAAATGATTAAGTAGATAAATTTTGTTGAAATAAAGTCTCAACAGCTATGAATACTATAAGTATATGGTCAAAAGTGACTGCATTACTCTCTAGGCAAGATGGAGTACTAAAAAATTATTTTTCCTCTTTTTTTCCAGTGAAGAACATCAACAAAACATACCAAGAACAACAACAAAAAAGGAAACTTAAAGAGACCCAAGAGGGTCAATTCTTTAGTATTTTTAGTAAATTTAACATAAAAAATTTAACATAAAAATTAAAACAGCTAGCATCTGCTGACATTTTAAATCTACTATTTTAAGGTTAACGTTTTAGATTTCAGCCTTTCTTTCTTTTTTTTCCTTTGGTGGTATATTCTACTAGGCATTCTATAACTGAGCCACACCGCCAATGCTTCTAACCCTTCAGGTATGGTCTCACTAAACTGCCCAGCTGGCCTTGAACTTGTAATCCTCTTGCTTCACATTCCCAAGGAGCTGGGATAACAGGCCTGGCTTAGCTTCATATTAACTGAAGATTTAAAAAATACAATTTTTATTAGTCACCTCACTAATATTTAAATTAAGACAGTACGAAAAGTAGCTGCAAGGCTACGTACAAATTGGCTTGTTGCTAGTATATTACCTTCTCACCATACAGCATTAACCTGCCTAATTCTTTTTCTCATGTTTCCTGTTTTCTCTGCATTTAAACTGCTTTTCATGTAAAACAGTAAGAAAGATGTGTTTCAAATGCCAATTTATATCTCAATCTAACAATTTAGATAGTGTTTTATTTCTCACTATCTTCTCTAAGCATTTAAATCAATTAATTTGTCCTTGTTTTTGTCTTCACCTTGACAAAAGTATATTGCTAGTAATTTTTAAACTTATTTTAAGTAATGAATTTATAACTTATTTTTATGCAAGGGGTCAAATAGTGTACCACTGTAGCTCTTGTATGCCTTAAATTCTACCTTGCATGAAAGCAACCCTAACATTTAGACAATTTACACATACATTTTTTACTTGTCATAAAGTAGTCGTTTTATTTTTTTTTTCCACCAATCTCTTGGATATGTAAAAATATGTCCAACTTGTAGCCTGTGCAAAAACAGGCAGTAATCTGCAGTTGATCAGTTTATCTCCCCTGGGGTACAACTTGACCACACTCTATTATTAAGGAAAAATAATCACTTTTCAAAAAGACAGCAACGTTAATAGTGAAAAAGTCACAGATCTTTGGCTTTATAACCATTCCATCTATGTGCTATAAGCCTGCTACTGAAAGCCCAGCATCAGGTGTGAGGGCAAGCATCTGTAACCACAACACCTGGGAGAATGTTGAGGTCAGTCTGGCTCAGTTCCAGACTAGTCTGAGAGGGCTACACAATGAGACCTTGTCTTAAGACAAACACATGAGATTCACTTTTCTCTAATCTCAAAGCATATATGACACACTTACTCTGTCTGGAGACTTAAAGGAACTTCCATCATGGCTGGGATGAGGTGAGGTGTTTTCTGCAGTATATGCAGATTCTGGACTTGGTACAGGAGAAATTCGACCCAATGTTTGTGCATACTTTGCTTCCTTTTTATTTGAAACAAGATAACTGATATCTTTGCTGAGAAATTCTTCAACTCGCTAGAAGAAAACAAAGTATTTAATAAAAGCTCCAAAACTATTTAAAAACACTGTACACATTCTAGTTTCATGTAGTCTAATATCTTACAAATTGGTGCTTTTCATCCTGTATTTTTGAGCCCGTAGTTCTGAGTAAGTATAATGGGAGTTCCACTAACAATATAATAGTATCATGTGCTAAATATTATTAAGTACTCTATCCTACTTAATGTAGTCCATGTACTCTCATGCTGTGTATCTATGTATCTGGAGATGAAAGTAAACTGACTTGCTGGAGTCACATGGACATTTCTACAGAGATGAGCTATTCTTTGCCTGTACTATGTAACACTGTGCAAACTTGCTATAGGTGCCTAGAAAGCACCTGTAATGAAACTATTATAACCAGGCCATTGAATTCTAAATTTTACATCTTAATGAGTTAACTACTACCTGACACGTCACAGTTCTAAACCATTAAGTTTATAACATTTCCTAAGGCTAAAAGAGAAGAGACAAGGAACCTTCACTCTCACAAGCATAAAATTGTTAGAATAGGTGCTGCCCCAGCATGCTTTGGTAATACATAAACCAAAGTCAATGTTACTAAAGATCACTCATGACCCAGGGGAATGGGAATTAAACTAGTACTATTAAAATGCACACTATAAATACAAACAACTAAGCAGAAATGACTTTAAAGCTCTGGTTTCTACAGGATTCTCCCTATGAAAGGCAGGAACACAGGTCTGTTAGCAAGATGACTTGATGGGCTGGTCTTTGTTTGGTAAGCCTGATTATCTGAGTTTGATCACCTGGACTCACCTGGCAGATGGAGAAAACCAACTCCTACAAGTTCTGATGTCCATGTGAGAGTGCAGGTGAGTCAATTTAAGCTACCATTAACTCAGAATCAGCTGCTGACAGGAGCAACCCTAGTGAAACACAAACTGTTGCGCTCCCAAGGGAGGGTCCTGCAGGGACAATACTCCACCAAGGACCATGCATGCAGAGGACTTAGAACCCTACACAGATGTAACCCACTGGCTGCTCAGTGTCCAAGTCGGTTCCCTAGTAAGGAGAGCAGGGGCTGTCTCTGACATGAACTCAGTGGCTGGCTCTTTGATCACTCCCCCCACCCCCAGGTGGAGGGCCTGCAGCCTTGCCAGGCTACAGAGTAAGATGATGCAGCCAGTTCTGATAAGACCTGATAAGCTAGCGTCAGATAGAAGGGGAGGAGGATCTCTCCTATCAGGGGACTAGGGAAAGGGCATAAGGGTAGAAGAGGGAGGGGGCTGCAGTGGGGATACAAAAATGAATAAATTAAATAAATATATAAATAAAATAAAATAAAATAAAAAAAACCCTGTTGTGCTCCACCCCCATTCATTTTCATTGACCAGTTAGTGAAGTATCCATATTTACTTATTCCAAAACATATGGGTCCTGTATAAAGGCAGACTGTAAATGATAATTAATATATAATAGTGCCAGTAACTCCATATATACATGTGTGTATGGACATACACATATGCTAGTTCAGCTATTTTAAGTATAACAATTCCAAGGCAATCACCACCTTTACAATCACCATTATTACCCATTTCTAGAACGTGTTCATCCCCAGTTTTAAGTCCTTTATTTGTCTATGTCCTCATGCTGATAACCTCTATTCTACTGTCTCAATGAAATTGACTATTCTGAGTACTTCACTGCTATGGTGTGAATGTTCCCACTTACACTGTTGAAATTTAATGCCAACTGTGCGGTTTTAAGCTGAAAATGGACTGAAGAGACCCATCAACAGGCAAGAGCACTGGTTGCTCCTCCAGAGGACAAGGCTCAGTTCCCAGCACCCACAAGGAGGCTCACAACTACCTGTACCTTCACTTTCAGATCATCTGATGCCCTCTTCTGACTTCTCTAGGCACTGCAGACAGGTGGTACACACACATATGCAGGCAAAACACTCATACACTTTAAATAAAAATAAATTCTTGCTGGGCATGGTGGGAAATGCCTTTAATCCCAGCATTCGGGAGGCAGAGGAAGGCAGTTCTGAGTTGGAGGACAGCTTGGTATATAGAGCAAGTTCAGGACAGCCAGAGCTGCACAGAGAAAACCTGCCTTGAAAAAAACAAGTCTTTTTTTTTTTTTTTTTTTTTTTTTTAAGGTAAAAACTTACTTTGTGGCAGTGGTTCTCAACCTGGGGGTCATAACCCATTGAAGGGGGTCACAACAGATATTCTGCATGTCAGATATGTAGATTACGATTTGTAACAGTAGCAAAATACAGTTATGAAGTAGCAGGAAAAAAATTTATGGTTGGGGTCACCACAACATTAGGACCGTCTTTGGAGACTCTCTGAACGCTAAATGAGGTCACCCGGGTGGGATGAAGCCCCAGTGCTGCTCTGGCTATGCAAAGAGCTCCAAGACAGGGTGATCCGTCACTCACCGTAAGTTGTCTTTCTCACTGGCCTAACAAAATACCTCACAAAAGCAACTTAAGGATGAAAGAGTTTATGCTGGTCCAAGATTTGAGGGAATATAACCAGCCCAACATAGCAGAGACGGTAGACAGCGGGACGTGAAGAGGCCGACCACAATGTACCTGCAGCCAGAAGAGACAGGCAAAGCCCAGTGCTCTGCCAGCACTCTCATTTTCATTCAGTCCAGAACAGCAGCTCGTAGTCTGCCTGCTGCCGCTGTGCTAAAAAACACTGACCAAAGCCAAGCAGGAGGAAAGGGCTTATTTCAGCTCTATTTGCAGGTAACAGGCCATCAACTAGGGCAATGGTTCTCAACTTCCCTAATACTGCAACCCTATAATACAGTTCTTAATGTTGTGATGATCCTCAACCACAAAATTACTTTCATTGCGGCTTCATGACTTTAATTTTGATAGTTATGAACTGTAATATTAATACCTGTGTGTTCTGATGGTCTTGGAGGACTTCTATGAAAGGGTCGCTCGAGTCCCCAGAGGGAATGAGACCCACGGGTTGAGACCCACTGATCTAGAAGCCAGGACAGGAGTTTGAAGGAACTGAAGACCACGGAGGAAAGCTGCTCACCAGCCTGCCCTCCATGGCTTGCTCAGTTTGCACAGGTTCACCTATCTCTGACATCCTACTTTCCAAGATATACACCCTTATATCTTGGAAATTTAGTAAATTGCTAAAGAACTATTTGCTGAAACCACCCATATTGTTTGTAGTTGTTACCTCGTTTTGCATTCCCAGCAACAGTGGACAATTAAATCTGTGAAAGTCAACACTTTTATTTTCCAGTTGACAGAACCTTCACCCATTATTTATTTTTATGTGTATGAGGGTTTTCGTGCATATATGCATTTGCATGTGTGCCTGGTACCTGCTGAGGCCAGAAGGGGTTATTAGATCCCCTAGAACTATAAATAGTGAGCCACCAAGTGAGTGCTGGAAACTAGACCCAGGTCTTCTGTAAAAACTAGTGCTTTTAATCATCTCTACAGCCCCCTTCACCCACCGTATTATCTTTCTGTTGAAATATAGGTCTTTACATACTCTGTATATTTCTCACTTATTAAATAAAGGATGTACAATATTTCTTTGGAAACAGGTCTCATATAGCCTTGACTGGATTATCTTGAATTTCTGATTCTCTTGCCTCTACTTCCTGAATGCTGGGATACTGTTTTGCGCCACTGTTGCTTTTATGCAATTGTTGGGACTGAACCCAGAGCTTCATGTAGGCCCAGCAAGCACTCTGTCAATTGAGGGAACATGAATGATTTGCAAAATATTTTTTACCATTTAGTGGAATTCTTGTTAATGTCCCAGGAGACAGATGAGTTGTTAATTTTAATTAGGCTGAACTTACGAATCTTTTTAGTTTGCTGCCAATGATTACATATACTTATTATTGAAATCACTGCTAAAACTCCGTCATGTAAACTTAAGAAGGCAGAATGGGACAGCTAAGATGGCTCAGCAGATAAAGCTACTCTTTGCAGAAAACCCTGGGTAAGCTCACTACATGTACACAGCAGCTCACAACTGTCCAGAACTCCAGATCCTGGGGTCTAACGCCTTCTCCCATCTTCCTTGAGTACCTGCGATGCCTTTATACATACACAAACACAAAAACGTAATTAATAATAAAAACCCTTTTTTGGTAGTTCTGGGCACAGTACAGTAAACAGGGAAACCCTGGCTCACTAGCCTCAAAATAACACCTCCATAAAACCAAAGGGAAACCAAACAAGAAAACCACTTCTTCTAGGTGTGGCTCAGGTCTCAGTTATTTCAGAACTGGGGAAATGAAGCCAGAAAGATTATAAAGTTCCAGGCCAACCTGAAATATAAAATAAGACCTAGCCTAAAAGCCCAACCCTACTCCTTTATCCTACATAACAAAGAAAAATGTCCTTTATAATCTGGTTTTAACAAAACTGGTTCCTGCCACTTCCATATCTAAATTTCACTCTCAAGGTAGTTTGCAGATCATCAAGTACACAAACACACCTATATAGGCAAATATTTTAAGTATGTTCTTTCCAAAAAGTATATCCAGTTTACTAAGTACATTCCTAATAGACCTTTAAGATCCAGTTCAAACCTTAACTGTATTGATTTATAATGGATGGTAAGTGATAAGCATTCTTCCACAGGTAAAATGAGGTAATTCAAGACACCTTAAAGTATTTAAATGCATTTTTTTGGGGAGCAGCTACTGGCAGGTTTACTGGTCCTAAGGAAAGAGGAAGTCACTATACAGGGAGAGACAGGAAAATGTAGGGGGAGGGAGGAGAGGGATAGACTTAGGGAGAGAAGAGCCAAAATGTCTGTATTATATAGTAAAGAGCCTCGGGGTGTGGCGGGGGGGGGGGGAAGCCCCCATCCCCAGACTGGAAAGTTCAGGGCAGAGGGTAGGGTATGCCAGCCACACATGGTAACAGGTAGAGACTGAGGGACGCTGGGAGAAACTGGTTAAAAAGGCATCTCAGCCGCTTGTCTGGGCTCAAAGCCCAAAAGGAAGCATTTTCATTTGTGTCCTAACAGCAATTTCTAGTAAAGCACTTTGCGGGCCGATCTGTAATTACTGGTTGTTGGGCCCACACAATGTCCTCTACAATTCTTGTGCTAGAAGTAGTCTCTCCTTCCTTCCACTTTCATAGTACAATCTGTTGTACCCATGTGTTGTGTAAGAGTATCCTGGAAGACTGAAACACACATCTTACAGTGAACTTTTTAAACAGGAGGGTAAATTCAAGAGGTTTTTAAGGAGTTCCTGAAACTGACCAGATTCACTGGGCCCCTCCTCGACAGAGCAAACAATATAAGCTGAGAACACCTCTTAAGACAAAAAGATGAGGTAAAAAGAAGACCCACTGAGGAGAAAAGTTTCAAAGGCTCTGAGACTAAACCAGATCAGACCAGACTAGACCAGCTGCTTGGAAGAGGGTTAGACCAGAATTACTTGAAAAGGATACTTTCCAACCTGCTGAGCTGCCTGAGGATGTGCAGTGTCAGTGTGCTTCAAGTTTTCCAGCATTTGTGAGCGGTCTGGCACCCATGCTGTCGTGGGCCTTAGTATATATAGCTGTCTTTGAATCATTTCTGTTCCTGTAAGTAACCCCAATAAAATTCACTGGTTCACCAACTTAAACTTTGGTTGTATCCATACTTTGGTCTGTCATGGGATCCCTATCTAGGTGGGGAGGAAGGTGGTGTGTTTCCCCAGGTAAAGATCCAAGGGTGGAGTTGAGTGAGAATCCTGAGTGCTTGGGAGAAAACTCCAAGAAAACAAGATGAGTCTTGTGACCTCAGTTTTATCAAAACATAGAATTGTTCTTGGAATGTTTTTGTGCCCTTTCCAGGTGTAGCAGATAGGAATGAGTTTGCTTCAGCTGTTGTTACCCACATACCTCTATGAAAACACAAGATTTTGCCATGGGTGGTGACTGAACACCTTACTCATGCACTTCTTGGCTAACCCTCAGTGTATAAACAGCTTGATTCTTTGAATAAAGTTGGCTATTATGCATAGTCCACCTCACTTTTAGACCCTGCTCTCCTAGGGTCAAACCACTAACTAAAACAATAAGCACTGCCTTTATATTTTCCTTCTCCAATTGTTTTATTCTAAGCTGTTTAGAAATGGGCCTACCCTTCGTTTTGTTTTGTAAATAGGATCTTACTAAAGTAGTCCAAGCCAGCATGGACTTGAACTCAAGATCTCCAGCCTTAGGTCTCCTAAACCCTGAGATTATAAGTATGTATACCAGCAAGCCTGACTTCATATCCTTCTTAAGTAGTTTTGACTTAGCTATTTTTCTTAACAATTGACTGTTGTACAATCAATAGTTGAATTATCACAAGTATTCTTTGCAAATAAATATAGTAACATGGTTTCATTAAGACTAGATAGAGGAAAACAAATATAGCTGGTGACTTAAACAATGACACTACTGGGGTGATCTGAAGTAAGTAACAGAAAGGATAGAAGGGTTATATAAAACTAAAAATTGGGGGAAACATAGCCTTTTAAGTGACTATTTGACAAAACTAGTGTTTCTTTAAATGTATTAAGAGAAACCACAACACTGGGACTGAACCAACATCCTTAAATTATACAGAAACAATTAAATAAAGAGCTATAAAAACCAGAACTAAGTACTTTTTTTCCAACAAGATAGTTAGTGAATTGTGGACGTCAGCTCTCTTCACCATGTGAGTCCCGAGGACTACACTCAGGTCACCAGGTTTCCCAGCAAGTGCCCTCCCTTACTTGAAAGCTACCTCACTAGTAGCTTTTGCTTTCCTAAGGGAAAGTGCAGATGCAATCCCCAATAACAAATTATGCAGTGGAGTTATTTTTGCATTTGTGGAAATCACCGGGCTTGGTACATCTGGAGTGCTATGGATACACCTCACCTTAGGGGAAAAATCACCTTCGTGACCAGTCACAATTATAAAATGCTAACTCCAGTCACAATTATAAAACTTAGCTTTTAATACATCTACTGAGACACTTGAAAACATGAGGGTAAACTCTGACACACATAAAAGCAAAATGTTCGTTGACGACTATCTATGGTAGAAGTAACTCAAAAACTGTTTCTTAAAGGTATTTTAGGAAGTGCTGTGAGGATGGGTGAGAAAGAAAGGGACAGAGGACGTGATTCTATCCCAGTAGTCAAGGGCTCATTCAGTCAATATTCCTTTACTATATAGGTTTCGCAGACTGGACTTAGAATGCAAATCCAAACATGAGTGACTTTGACCTAAAGTTAACATACTTAAGAGAGCTATCAACTAGTCCACAGCCACCGACAACTAAGAGAATGGTGGTGGGCTGATGCCGTTATGCATGCCTGAAGTCCCAGGACTCCGGGAGGCAGAAGCAGGTGGATCTCTGTGAGTTCGGAGCCAGCCTGGTGTACAGGATAGCCACAGAGAAAACTACACAACTGTGTCTCAAAAAACTAAACAAAAAAACCAAAGAGAATAGTGGCATACCATGTCACTCTGGAATTAGAGACTAGCACATGGCACTCCATTCTAAATTAGAGGGGTCTTTACTTCTATCTAAGACCCTAAGCACATTAACATACCCTTGATAGGCAATACAGTCATGGGTGACAGGTCTACTGGCCATGACCTTTAGAAGTGCAGCCATTTGGATCATTTTGATAAATGCTACCATAAATACATGATAGTGAGTCAACAAGATGACTAGTAGAAAAAGCAGGATGCTCATGGGAGTGGGAAGGGACCTAGTTATGAAGAAGGGTGTGAGCAAGAGTGGGAGGATAAGGAAATGTAGTAAAAGTAACAGGTTGCAATACAATTTGTAGATGAATGTAACTGACAAAAAAAGGGAAAAAAATTAAATTTCACATTCTTTTCATATTCAAAGTAAAATTCTATCTACCCCGACCCCACTTTCTAAAGTAGACAAATTTCAAAGGCAGGTAAGTAAAAACATCACATTAACAAGAGGTTCTGAGGAATCTGTGACGTATTCTTGTGAATTGCCAGACAGAAAACTTTGAAACAGTAAAAACCACAATAACCTCATTTGCTAGAATTTAGGTAATACTAACACTATGTTGAAAAAAAAAATCTTTAGACTTTTGCTTAACTTTTTTAATCATCTAAGTAATGTATAACAGTAAAGACAGCTTAACTATCACTCCATGTGTTCCCTCAACAGGTGAATGTTGCCTCAGTAGTTCTCTCCTCAAATACATGTGTAAGTCTCACACACACTTATGTACAAGTATATTATATAAGTCTCTCTCTTACACACACACACCACTAAAGAACTATTGTAACACAGAACAGGTCTTGCCCCCCCCCTCCCCCCCCGCCAGTCATCAGACAAGCAGCTCCTAGGAAGTTCACTAGGACAAAGGAGTCTCATTCCTTTGTACTGAGCCACTAGTCACAGAAACTTGAACATTTTGTCCAGCTACAAAAGGCTTAAAACATGGTTTCTTAGCCAGGAACTGGTGGTGCATGCCTGTAATCCCAGCACTCAGGGAGGCAGTGGCATGCCTGTGAGTTCGAGGCCAGTCTGGTCTACAAAGTGAGTCCAGGACAGCCAAGGCTACACAGAGAAACCCTGTCTCAAAAAACAAACAAACAAAAACAAATCAACAACAACAAAAAAGTGTGTTCTTTGTCCCTTAGTGTTGGGATTTGAGCACAGAAAATCTTGTGTCAGTAGGTGCTAAACCACTGGGTTACACTCCCAATCCACAAATGATTCACTAATACCAAACAACTCACAGTTTATAAGGCTGCTATTGATAAAGGGCCACCATTTCCTAAAATGAAATTCTTTAATGATTCCACGTTATAAAGTACTGGTCTAGGTTTTCCCCCACTCTTTGTGGGTTTGTAGTTTCACTTACCCCTCCAAGGTCCTTTATATCTTTTTGTAGTTTTTCACATACAGTGATAGAAGGCAAGTCAAGGTAAAATATTTTTCCCCAAAGCGGCTTATATTTGGATTTTTCCAGTCTATTATCAGTTTTCAGGGATTTCAAAGATGGTCTGTTCTTTTCATTTTTGTCTTGGATGCCACCTATGATTAAAAAAGCACCAGGTAAATGTTTCAGATGCAGAGAAAAATTTAACTGCTTAAAAATATTCAACAACTAAACCTAAACTACACAAAGAAAAGGACTTGTTAATCATAACAAGTCCTTAGAATCTAAATATATCCCTGAATATTACCACTTAGGATGAAGGAAAACTGCCCTGTATGCTTCCACAAGCATTTATATTGGAGAACAAGCAGGAAATACTCATTATTTATTCCTGTTCCATGGGTGAAGTCAGGAAACTCATTAAAGCCTTTTGAAAATCTTTATCGGGATGTAAACTTCGTGTGGGTATTAATAGTTCTGTGAAAACCCAACACAGGCGTTTCGTATTTTAAAAGCTTATATGCGTAGGCGCACACACACATACACACACAGAGAAGTACCTAGAATAAACTTAATCATCAAGGTTTCCTAGGTGCTCAAATTTTGGTTTCATAATTAGCCTAGTGCTAAAAGAACTAAATTATGCAGTTCGCACACTTTTGTTTACCTATTGAAGAACTCGGGCCCACTATGAAAGACATCGCCATTCATCTTACTTTTACAAGCAGATGAGAATCAAGGAACTTCTTTCAAGTCGTCCAACACAACGTGCACTTTCCAGTTAACAGTCACACAGGCATCTATCTCTTAGAAGATTTCCTTATAACGAATTTTTACTTTTACACGAGATAATGAGACTGAAACGTACATCTGTTTTTGTCTTGTCTCTGAGGCTGAAAACACACACACACACACACACACGCTCGCTCGCTCGGTTTTAATTACAGCCACAAACGGAGTGGGGACGGCCAGGCCGTCCGGGACCCGCGCATTGTCTGATGTCTGATGTCTGAAAGCCTTGCAGCCCCGAGAATGCGGGCTCGCAGCTGCGGCGGGGAGGGAGCACGAGGGGCCCGGGCAGCGCCGTCCTCTCACGGAGACCATCCCCGAGCGCCTCCGGGGCGCCGAGAACCCAGAGATGCCAAAGCAGCCGGGGATCCCCCGCGGGAAGCCTCCCCAGAACCCGCCGTGGGACGGGCGGAGCAGGAAGGGATGAAAGGGTCGGCGGCGGGGAGGGGCTCCCTACCGGACAGAGGTGCTTTGCTCTGGATCCTCATGGTCTCGAGGCTCATGGTAGCCGCCAGGCACCTACATGCTGGGGCCGCGGCGGGGGCCGCATGGGACGGCGGCCAACACCAGGCTCCGAGGCTCGCCCGGCCTCGGCCTCCGGGCCGCGGGGCGGGGCGGCGTCCGCTGGCTGAGTCTTCGGGGCCGGTTCCGGCGCCGATGCTCGGAGGAGGAAGGGGCCGAAGCTCGGACGTGGGAGCCGCGGCGGTTAAAGATTTGAAAACGCGTCACGCGACCGCGGCGCCCAGACGCGCTCCCCGCCCTTCCTACGCCGGGGCCGGGCCCGCGCAAGCTCCACCTGCCCGTCCGCGCGGGCCCCGCCCCCTGAGGGCGACTCCGCCCCCGGCGCGCTGGCCCCGCCCCCGACCCGCCCTCGCTCCGCCCCCCGGCGTGCGGGCCCGCCTCGCCGCAGACCCCGGCTCCCCGGCGTCCTGTCCTTTCGAGTTCCGGCGCCGCTCTGCAGCTCGGGGCGTGTAGCAATCGGGGCAGTAGACCCCGTCAGCCTCGGAGGCCGGCCGACCCACCGTGTGGCCATTACCACCTGCTAGCTTTGCTGCGACCCGCGCCTTGCAGTCGCCTAGCCACCAGGTACGCCAGTTAGCCGCGTGTGGGACGCGGGGCCGGGCTCTGGGCTCCCGCCGACCTGCAGGCAGGCCGCAGAGGTCCCGGGCGGCCAAGGTGGCAGGGTCCACCCGCCCGACCCCACTCTCGTAGCCCTTTGGGTACTTTTGTTCTGTATAGACCTCTTCTTTCTCGCATATATATATATATTTATTTATTTATTATTTTTTTTTGCAACAATAAAAGCGTGGAAAGTGAATCTCGGGATTTTTCATCTGATAAAATGGGAATAATAGGATTACGATCAAGACGAAATTTACGTTTTTTTATTTGTTTCAGTTTTGCTTTATAAGTGAGAAAGTGCCTCACACGACTTGTTTTGCGTGTGCTTCTGCTCGCACCCTTACAAACGTTATGTTTTGTACTGTTTTGCATTTCTTAGCTCCCGGCCTTGATAGACGCTCCTCATAGTATTGGTTTTTGATGTAGTACCTCAAGACAGTCAGTGCAGATTAAGTCTAGATGAATGGTGAGACTGTTAGCCTAAGACATTATCAAGATGGATTCGAATTCCTAAAAGAAATGATTTTGTTTTGAATAGGTTAAGGTTGGAGTCTGGAGCAATAATCAGGGAGGGGGCTGTCTGTCATTATTAAACGATCACTTTGGAGATCATTTGTTTTCACGAGAAATACCTGGGAGGGAGCCAGGAAGAGAAGTATGCGTTAAGAGATATTGTACTTGTGGATTTGAGTTTATATACACGTGCTTAACAGGTCTTGAGAAGGAGGAGATACAGTATGAACAAAGTTTTTTTTTTTTTAATTGGGGAGAAAAGTAAAAAATGTAAGCTACAGAAGGAACCCAGAATCTCCATGTTCGTGAAATGATTTAAATGTTTGAGAAACACTAACGGAATAGAGTTAAAGCCATGAGGGTGGGTGGATTGCCCTGGAGCAGAGTTTGTGAGATAAAAGTAGAGATTCTGAGGATAAGGAAATGAGAGTGAAGCAGCAGGGACAGCAGGCTGAGATGTCGGAAGAGAACTGAGAACAAAACTTAATGGTGTGGAGTCATGGGATTTTCCTACAGAATTCAGGTGGTTCCAGCTTCTAGAAACTATAGGAAATGGGTAATTTTGAGGCTAAATTTTAGTCTGAAAAGGTGGCGGGAGGGGGGCCAATAGTTATGGAGATTAATTGGACTGTTCTTGAAAGCATAGTACCATGCCTGGAACAGTAAGAGCCCTGTAATTGCTCTCATTCCGATGAGCCTTGCACAACTCACAGTAAGAGCCCTGTAATTTCTGTCGTTCCGGTGAGCCTTGCACAACTCAGTTCCCAACAGAGTTCAAGATGGCTAAAACCTGAATACTAAGTACATCTATGGTTTTGTCATGGAAGATGTCTTTCATTTCCTTAGTGATAGTTTGAATGATAATATAGGGAAGTATAATTTGAATGGTAATATAGCTAAGTACTAGATAAAAAACAGTGATTTTGAAGTCACAGGTAGAGCACACCGAAATAAAAAAATGGCCAGTAAGGAAGGAATGATAGAAGAGAAGATTGGGTTTTTTGAAGTTTTCTGGATATGGGGAGGATATAATCATCTTTCTTCTGAAAATAGTGAAAATGAAAGTCCATTTTATGCTTTTATATCGGGCGATTTATATTTCTTATGAAATAGGACAGTGAAAGAGTTGGGACTATGTTGTTAGACTCGCCCTTATGTGTTACATAAGTGATAATTCGAAGCTATGAACAAGCAAAAAAATCTGCTCACTATACAGTTAGTAATTTTTCAGTCTTACCACCCAGTGTCATGTGGAACCCCAATCACAGTAGCCACAGGAAGGAGGAGGACTTGGTCATAGAAAGATAGAAATGTCCTTACCTGTGAGTAATCGGGTCTGTAAAAGAATGTGGTTTTTGTTAAAGCAGACCTTGTTTTTTCATTCCTCTTTTTGAAATGGTGTCTGCTTGACTTACTGTGTGGCCTAGACTGACCTGGAAGTCAATAGAGAGCCTCTTGCATCAGCCTCCCAAGGGCTGGAATTACAGGCATGACCAACACCCAGCCTAAAGTAGATCTTGAAAATGTACTTGGAGTCCTTCAGATGAAGAATAAATGAATGGGGCCTCTGCCTCCCAAGTTCTGGGATTAAAACTGGGAGCCAGCCTGTGGCCCATAAACTAAATGCATTCTAGGATAGCTATGAATGTGACACATTTGTAGATGACATCATGTCACAATGTCAAAAGTTGGGACACCCCCGGGACTCAGTGAACGTTTATTTGGCCATAAATCAAGAGACGCTAATTCATTTAGAACTGATCTAGCCTTAAGACAATTTTATGACCTTGGACAAACCAATTATGTGTGTGTGTGTGTGTGTGTGTGTGTGTGTGTGTTGTTCTGGGCACTGAACTTGTTACCTCATGCTTTACCACTGCACTGAGTTGTATCTGCAGCCGAATAGTAACCCTTTTATTCGGTAATTTCCTCGTCTGCTAATGAAGTTAATATTTGCTTAATCTACTTGACCAATATACATTTTATATTCTTTGAGTTTAGACAATTTTGTAATACCTATCACTTCACTGTTTTATTTCTTCCACCTAAACCTTCCTTGCCAAAAGGTGTTTTCTGTTGTTCCTGTTCACAGTAAATCTGACTTAGACCCAACCCTTATCTGCTCACTTGAGGCCTCTAATACTAATTATTTGTATTGAACTCATTTTCTAGCTGTTGGTGTGCGATATTGTGGCAGAAGTGTATAGGGGAGCAGAGAGGTTCAGCTCCTGACATCCAGGAAGCAGAGGACAGGGAGGGGACAAGACATATGTCATGTTAAGAGAAACAAGGTTTGTGAACATGCGTGTGATGGAATGACATAATACTGCCAGCCAAAGTGTGCATGAGTCTGTCTCTTAGGAAAGGAAGTTTATATCCAAATCTGTTGTAAAGTCCAGACTGGTTTGTAACCTTCCGTCCTTGTATCTCCGCTTCCTCAGACGTGGGATTGAAGCTGCTCACCAGCCCTCCATGCTTTGTAGTGAAGGGGGTTTAGTCGGTTGCGGTTGCTTGGTTTTGTTTTGTTTGAGACTGGGTTTCCCTGTGTATTCTGGCTGTCCTGGAAATACTCTGTAGACCAGGCTAGCCTTGTACTCAGAGGTTCCCCTGTCTTTGCCTCCTGAGTGCTGGGATTAAAGGAATGTGTCACCGTGCCCCATTGTGTATTAAGTTTTTAAATATTTTAGCCTAACTGTCTTAGTTTCCCAAGGTAAGTGTAGGAAGACTACGAAGAGATACATGAATAAGATATTATATCAAAATGGTTTGCCATTGAGAACTCAACAACCTAAGTATAAGAGATCATTTAAGCATAATTATATACTCTGCAAACATTAAAAATGAAATGAACATTTGTTATGTTTGTGTTATATCCATAACAGAGTACTAACCAAACATAAATAGAATTTACTGTTTTTTTAAAACAGCATGTACACATGTATCAATGTCTGTATGTGTTTAAATATGTTTATAATTATATGTGTATATATATATATATATATATATATATATATATATATATATATGACTGCCAAAAGGTAATAAATATTGTCTGTTTCATGAAGTTTTTATAAGAAAATGATTAAGGCCATGTGTTTTTCTTTTATAATTATACACCAACTATTGGTATGCAATAAAATTTGTGTCCTATTGAGTGGTAGTCTGTTCAAGAATAAAGAAGGTATCTAAGTAATGCTTTCTGTAAACATACAGATTTTGTAAATCCTTGTCTCTTACTGCTTTTGTTCTGACTCTTGGTCAGGATGTTTCCATACCTTTTGGTTACCTGTCCTGCAAATGTAATGTTACTCAGACAGCTTAATCACACACATTCTTATCAGAGGGCGTGAGCTAGTAATGGCAGCTGCACACTAGCTTTCATTTATAGCTTGTTTACTTTTGGCAGTGATAACTTGCTTCATGTGAATTTTTTTCTGCTGTATTTTGCTTTATTTTTGCAGTGCTGAGAATCAAACCCAAGACTTGGGCATGTTGGGCAAGCACTCCTGATTATTGTTGTTACAACTGAACAACAATAGATTAACAGGTAATTTTGAAAGTATTTTCCATTCAGCTTTATTACATATGTACATATATGTAGTATATATGTGCCATATACTATTTTAATTTTTTGCTTTAACAGATTTATTTTTCAACTACTTAGAAATATGGAATCTGAAACCGAGGATCCACCACCAGCAGTACAAGTGACACCTCTTCAGCAGATGCTCGCCTCTTGTACTGGAGCTATACTGACATCGCTAATGGGTAAAATTATGCAACCAGTACAGATTACGTAGTTTTGAATATTCTAGAGTTTGTTATCTGTGAAGTAATGATATTATTTTGAGGGATGTGTGTATTGGATGTATGTATGTGTACATATTTGTGTGCATGTGGCAGCCGGGAGTCAGTGTCAACATCTTCTGTTGCTGTTTTTGGTGTGTATATGCCTCTGTGTGTGTGTGTGTGTGTGTGTGTGCGTGTGTGTGTGTGCGCGCGCGCATACACATGCTTGGATATGTATATGCAAGTGTGTGTTCGATGCTGGATATCCAGACAGGGTCTCCCAATGAATCCAGAGCCGAATGACTGGCTAGAAAACCCCATAAATCCTCTTGTCTTTACTTTCCTGTGCTGGGATTACAGTCCAGTGCCACAGGGCCCAATGTTTAACATGGGTGCTGAGATTCAAACTCTAGTCTACGTGCTTGTGTGGAAGGCACTTTGCTGAGCCATAATATATATTATAGTATATATTATCATTATAGTCTCGATAATGATATATATACTATTATGATATATTATTTATTAGTCTGGATTCCAGTATTTTATCAGGGTAATGTGAAAAGAATAGAAAATGAAGAGATCCATTATAGATGGTTGGGAGCCACCATGTGGTTGCTGGGGATTGAGCTCAGAACCTCTGGGAGAACAGCCAGTGCTCTTAACCTCTGAGCCATCTCTCCAGTCCCCTGAGTGAGCTATCTCAGAAGCAGAAAGATACACACGGTATATACTCACTCATATAGCCATATAATATAGAATAAACCTACTAAAATCTGTACACCTAAATAAACTAATCAAGAGGGAGGACTCTTGCTAAAATGCTCAACTCCTATCCAGAAAGGCAAAGAGTGGACATCAGAAGAAGGAGAAAAGAGGGAACAAGTCAGGAGCCTGACACTGAGGGCCTCTGAAAGGCTCTGCCCTGTAGACTATCAATGCAGATGCTGAGACTTATGGGCAACCTTTGGGCAGAGTGCAGGGAATCTTATGAAAGTTGTGGGGAACAGTAAGATCTGGAGAGGACAGGAACTTCACAAGGAGAACAACAGAACCAAAAAATCTGAGCACAGGGGTCTTTCCTGAAACTGATACGCCAACCAAGGACCATGCATGGAGATAACCTAAGACCCCTGCACAGATGTAGCCCATGGCAGTTCAGTATCCAAGTGGTTTCCATTGTAATAGGAACAGGGACTGTCTCTGACGTGAACTGATTGGCCTCAGGGTTGTTTTGATTTGCATTTCTCAAATGGCTAAGGACAGTGAGCATTTCTTTAAGATTGAAATTTATAGTCCTAATGAAGCTAAACAAGGAGGACCTGAGGAAAGAGGCTGAAACCTCACTCAGAAGGGCAAACAGGATAGACATTGGAAGTAGGAAAAGACAAGGAACAGGACAGGAGCATTCCACAGAGGACTTCTGAAAGACTACCCACCAGGGTATTAAAGGAGATACTGAGACTCATAGCCAAACTTTAGGCAGAGTGCCAGAAATCTTATGGAAGAAGAGGGAGATAGAAAGACCAGGAGCTCCACCAGGAAAGCAACAGAGCCAAAATACCTGGGTCTAGGGGGTCCTGCAGAGACTGATACTACAACCAAGGACCATGCATGGAGAGGACCTAGAACCCCTGCAGAAATGTAGCGCATGGCAGTTCAGTGTCCAACTGGGTTCCCTAGTAAGGGGAACAGGGACTGTCTCTGACATGAACTCAGTGGCTGGCTCTTTGATCGCCTCCCCCTGTGGTGTGCAGCCTTGCCAGGCCACAGAGGAAGACAATGCAGCCAGCCTTAATGAGACCTGATAGGCTAGGGTCAGATAGAAGGGGAGGAGGTCTTCCCCTATCAGGGGACTAGGGAAAAGGCATAGAGGGAAAAGAGGGTGGCAGGGAGGGACTAGGAGGAGACAGGGAGTTGGCTACAGCAGGGATACAAAGTGAATAAATTGTAGTAAACAAAGAAAAGAAAGAAAGAAAGGTAGAAAAGGAATAAAATATTTGCATATAGAATAACAAATTTGGGGCAACTTAGCAGTTTCTCAAGTTTCTCTGGGTTTCCTCTTTATGTTTCATATAGTGGGTTTCTTACAGGAATAACCAAATGACATAGATGATAGCTGAACATGTCAATGATTTTAAGTTGACTAGTTTAATTAAGATAGCAAGTGATTATAATATCAACCAATTAATTTGTGGTGTATCTTTATGTTGGCTTGAAGTTTATTCTAGTTCATAAGCCTTACAAATTATTATTATTTTTTATTTATTATTTATACAACATTCTGTCTGTACACCACATCTTACTAGAGATGGTTATGAGCCACCATGTGGTTGCTGGGAATTGAACTCAGGACCTTTGGAAGAACATCGAGTGTTCTTAAACTCTGAACCATCTCTCCAGCCCTACAAATTATTTTTTAAACATACATACATATATTTATTTATTTATTTATCTATCTATCTATTTATTTATTTATTTTTCCTGTGCATTGGTCTTTGGCTGCATATATTGCTCTGTGAGGGTGTCAGATCCTCTGGAACAGGAGCAGGAGTACAGACAGTTGTGAGCTGCCATGTGGGTGCTGGGAATTGAACCCGGATTCTCTAGAAGAGCAGTCAGTGCTCTTAACCACTGAACCATTTCTCCAGCCCTGGCCTTACAAATTATTTAACTTGACTTTCTTGTTTTCTGATGAGGAATAATTTTCTTGAAACCACAATTTGATACCTTTTTCTTATTTTCATGAAGTAGAGTATGAAAATAAAAATAAGATGCAAATTTACTTTGTTGTTCCCAGATGGATGGCATAGTCTAATGCTGGAGATGATTTATGGCTAGCCTACCCCAAATTCCATTTCCGACAAGCTTTGATACAGATAAATTAATCAGACTGGGAAGGCTAACACTAGCTGATTTTTAGTTAGTTGTAATATGAAGTTTTTCTCAAATATTAGACTTTTAGAACTTTGGTAGATTGCTTTAAAGAACATATTTTCTAAACTTGTAGTGCTCTAGTTGTAATACTAATGGAGTTGTAGATAGAAATAACTTGTGCTTGTGAGAAGTGATTTGCAGTCAGTCTTCAGTAGCTGAGGACAAAAGTGCAGAGGACCGTACTAGGAGCAGTAGGACCCCTCAGTGTTGGGACACATGCAGCACTGTTATTAAATAGCTTACTCAGGGCATAGCGATGAGGGAAAGTGTGAATTGATGTAGAGCTCTCTAAATGACCTCTTAGAGATTTATAGATACCATATCTTAACTGAAACTTCTATATTCATAGTGACACCCCTGGACGTTGTTAAAATTCGACTCCAAGTCCAGAACAACCCATTCCCTAAAGGTATGTATATTAGATACTCTGATAGTATTATTAGATTTTTTAAAATGTTACTGTACTCATTTTTGTTTGGATAGTATTTTGTAAATTTAATTAGAATTAATGCTTTATCTAGAAACATTTTTCATCTTTTAATTATATCTAGTGAAGTTTAGGCAGAAAAAAAATGTATGGTATCTACCCCTATTTATTTGTCATATATACCTACACACACACACATACATACATACATACATACATACATACGTACATACATACATACAACGACTCTTTATTTGTCATGCATACATACGTACATATATATGTACATGCACCTAGCCATATGTATCTTAACATTTTTACAGATCTTCTAATTAAAATAGAGAATATATTTGACTATATGCTATTCATTCTTTCTCTCATTAGAAAGGAACAGGCTTCTAAGAGATAACAACAAAGCATAACAAAATAAAATAAAATAAAAGAGAAAACAAAAACCATCACATCGAATATGGACAAAGCAAACCGGAAAAGAGCCCTAGAAGGCACAAAATCAGAGACCCAGGCATTCCCACACTCGGGAGTTCCAAAAACACACTATAAGCTGGAAACCACAATACTCACACAAAGGCCCTGGTACAGACCTGAGCAGGCTCTGTGCATGCTGTTTCCTCTGTGGAGGGAGGAACAGCTAGAGGCTTCCGGTTTCTGGCTGTGGTGAGTAGACCAGCAATGGACTTGGTGGAGCAGGTGACTCCCTTTGGTGGGGTGAGGTGTCCTCTGGGTACATGCCCAAGAGTAGGATAGCTAGATCTTGAGATGTACCAACTCCTGTCTTACTGAGGAACTGCCACACTGATTCCCACCGTGACTGTAAATGTGCACTCCCGCCAGCAATGGAGGAGTGTTCCTTTTACTCCACGTCCTCACCAGCATGAGCTGCCACTTGCTTTATTGATCCTAACCATACTAACAGGTATAAGATGAAATCTCAAAGTGATTTTGATTTGCATTTCCCTGATAACTAAGGATGTCAAACATTTAAGTTCTTTAATGGCATTGGTTTTCTTGATTTCAGCCCTGAGTTTGATTATTTCTTGCCATCTGTTCCTTTTTTATGTGATTTCTTTTATTCTAGAGCTTTCAGGTATGCTGTTATTAGTATTGAGAGGTTTTTGTGTTTTGTTTTGTTTCGTTTTTTTAATGTAGACACCTAATGCTATGAACTTGCTTCTTAGAACCACCTTCATTGTGTCCCATGAGTTTGCGTATATTGTGTGTTCATTTTCACTCATTTCTAGAAAGTCTTTTGTGTCTGTCTTGATTCATTTTTCATTCAATGAATTGAATGAGTAATGAGTTGCTCATTTTCCATGAATTTGTAGGCTTTCTTCTGTTTCTACTGTTGATACGCACTTTAAATCTGTGCTGATCAGAAACAACATAGGGTTTCAGTTTTCCTGTATCTGTTGAGACTTGCTTTGTGTCAGAGTATGTGGTCTATTTTGGAGACAAATCCATGACATACAGAGAGAAAGGTATATTCTTTTGTATTGGGTGAAAGGTTTTGTATCTGTTAGGCCCATTTGGTTTATAACAGCGGTTAGCTCTAGCATTTCTCTGTTTAGTTTTTGTCTGGACCCACTGTTTATTGGTGAGAATGGGACATTGATGGCTTTCACTGTTAGTATGGGAGGATCAATATGTGATTTAAACTGTAATAGAGTTTCTTTCCTGCATTTGGGTGCCCTGATGTTTGGTGCATAGATGTTAAGAATTGAACTCTCTTCTTGGTGGATTTTTTTCTTTGACTATGTAGTGTTCTTCCCTATCTATGTCATAATGCTTGTATATTATGACATGCAAAGTTATATGTAGTTGACAGGGCAATCTTGTCAGCAACTATGAATCCAGTAGGACAAGTTTTGGTAAATTAGGTAGAGCTGACAGCTGGCTAGACAGAACAGGACAAATAGAGAAAGAGACAAGCATTGCACTACTTAAATTAATAACATTTATTCTGCTTATTTTAACATGAGTTTCCCTTGTGTACAAGAGTTGACATATAAACATTTTTCTGATTAGTTTTGAAGTCTGTTTTGTCAGATATTAAAATGAATACACTAGCTTGCTTCATATGGCCATCTGCTTAGAATATCTTTTTCCATTTTTTAACCCTGAGATGATGTCTATTCTTGATGTTAAGGTGTGTTTCTTGGATGCAGCAGAATGATGAACCCTGTTTTCACATTCATTCTGTTAGTTTGGGTCTTTTTATTGTGTTATTTGTTGAGAACTTGAAACCACAGATGTTGAAACATATCAATGAGCAGTGTTTGTTGATTCCTGTTAGTTTGTTTTTATGGGATGTGTGTCTGTGTTTTCCCTCTTAATTTGCTGCCGTGGGATTATTTATTCCTTGTGGGAGGTATTTGGGTGTGATTAGCCTCTTTAGATTGGGTTTCCTTCCTGGCACCTTCTCCAGGGCTGGATTTGTAGGCAGATACTGCTTAAATTTGGTTTTATCTTGGAATCTCCTATTTCTCCAATTACTGTGATGCAGAATTTTGCTGGGTATAGTAGTGTGGGCTGATATCTGTGGTTTCTTACAGTCTGTAGAACATCAGACATCCCTCTGGCTCTCACAGTCTCTGTTAAGAAGTGCTATTTTAATAGGACTCCTATTATATGTTACATGGCCTTTTCCCTTTGCAGCTTATAATATTCTTTCATTGTTCTGTATGTTTAGTGTTCCAGAGAAAGCCTGCTAGAGTTGGGCCTAGAATAACAGCATAAATGGGGAGGGAGGTGGAGGAGAAGCTCTGCTTGATCAGCTGGATGTGGGCAGAGAGGAGTGGGAGGCTGTAGCACATAGTCTCCTGGAGAGATGGGGATGAGACTAGGGGGTTGGATTTGGAGAGGAGGGAGAGGTGTAGATCTTCAGTTAGTCTACCATTTCTCTGTTATTTCATCGTGCAGGGTTGTTCATCTTGACTCTGGAATTTGATACAAAGTAATTCTGTATTATATCAGATAGACAAGAATACCAATACTGTAATCAACCTTTGGAACTGTATAAAGATAGTATAGAAGTTGGCCAAGCTGTAATGAATTGCCTTATTTGAATCCTCTGTTCTGAGACGGTAGCTCAGTGAGTGCATTGCTTTCCTAGTATGTATGAAGCTTTGGGTCCTATTCTCAGCATCAGTACAGAGGAGAAAAAAAATGAAGGAATAATAAAGATTTTAAATAAAGCTTTTCCTACGTAGAAATAAAGTGAGATGAGCAGTCATATTTCAGGTAAGGATAAATGCATAGTAGAAAGAAACTGAAAGGTCACTCTTGCACGTGAAAGCACAGGAGATGCTTGTACATTATGACACGCAAAGTTATATGTAGTTGACAGAGAGGACAATCTTGTCAGCAACTATGAATCCACTAGGACAAGTTTTGGTAAATTAGGTAGAGCTGACAGCTGGCTAGACAGAACAGGACAGACAGATAGAGAGAGGGACAAGCATTGCACTACTTAAATTAATAACATTGTTCTGCTTATTTTAACATGAGTTTCCCTTGTGTGCAAGAGTTGACGTGTAAACATGTTTCTCTTTTTATCTTCCGTCACCACCCATCCCTTAGGTAGCCTAAAAAAGCTTCTGTGCACATTATTTTTTAAACCATGGTTCTGCAAATAAATAGAAAACCCACTGATTCATGTTGTCACTTTTCACAGTGAAGTTTAGAGGCCTGTGCTGACTTACCTTGAGCAAATTGAGCTAATTTTGTGTGTTCCATCCTAGAATTTGTCCTTCCATACTTTCCTATTCTCACTGTACTTGCAGTGTGTCTGTAAAAATGATATAATCATGTGAAATAACTGCTGGTTGTTGGACTCTTCCTTTATCAGGAAAGTGTTTTCTATACAGTAATGGCCTCATGGATCACATGTGTATCTGTGAAGATGGGAGCAAGAAAGCGTGGTATAAGAAGCCAGGAAATTTCAAGGGAACCTTGGTAAAGAGATGCTTTTATTTGGAATCTTTGTATGTTTTCTATTCTTATTTTTATTCTTATATATGACTTTGTAATTATAAGGGATTTAAAAGTCTATTATATAGAATCATGGTAAAGAAAAGTATGTCTTTTATAATTTGTTAACTCTCATTTGTTCATCCTGTTTATATAGGAAAAAGAAGTAGCTTTTTAAAGTTTTTTTGAGAATTGTAGATCTCCCTTATTTCAAAACAGAACATACAGACACGTGTGTTTGTCCCCGTGTCCTTGGTTGTGCTCACATTAACGCACTGTGAGCACGAGAGCACTGTGAGGATTTTTCTTGTCCTTAGAAGAACAATACCCATTTCTTTGCTCTCATCCACCCTGGAACCCCTGGCAACTTCTACTCTGTTCTTAAATTAGAAAATTTTGTCATGTGAAGAATGCTGTATAAATGGAGTCGTGGCATATGCTGATTCTAGAGGTTAGAGTTTTATCACTTTGCATAATAGTCTGGAGATTTATCCAGGCTGTTGTATGAGTCCATTATTTGCTTCTGTTTCATTGCTCAAAAGTTTGCTGTGGGTGTGCCACATTTCCATTCAGGATTGTTTGCAGCTTTTAGTTACTGTGAATAGAAGCTACTATAGACATTTGTCAGTGTGTGAGATAAAGTTATTCTTTATTATTTCTGAGAATTTTAGAGGAATCCTATTCCACTTCTATCCCTGCTTAGAGTGAAATGACATCTTTACTATGTTGGGTCTTGCAGTGCATCTTGTTTTGGTTTGGTTTTTGAAATAGCATCAGTCTGTGTAGCCCTGACTGGCCTGGAACTTGAGACCAAGGTGGTCTCGAACCCATAGAGATCAGCCTTCCAACTGCTGGGATTAAAGTTGTGTGCCATCATGCCTGGCTTCGGGTACATTTCAAATCTACTTGTAACACTATAATTGAAACATTTCTTCTTATAGATAGGTTTTAAGTTCAGTCAGTTTTGTCATTTAATTAATAGACAAATTACATTAATATAGTTATAGATATAAGGGCTTACACTTGCCTTTTCTGGTTATCTTTTGGTTTTGTTTCTTTATTTCTGTTATTTTTCATACATTCCTTTTTGTTACATGTTTTATAATTCCATTTTTATCTGTCATGCTTTTGTGTATATATTTCTTAGCTAAAACAGTCTGATTTTTTTTTCTTGCTTCAAGTATGTTGATAGATGATTATTCAATATTTTTGTTTTGGCTGATTTGAAATCTTTGTCAGAGAACTTGGACAGCTTTGCTCAATTTCAATGTTTATTATTGTCTCTCTTCATTAAGTATCACACCTTCCTAGTCCTTAGAATGGTAAATAGACTATACCCTGGGCATTTCGAGTGCTGTTTTTAAATTCTAAATTCCAGTTAAATAGTTTGTTTAACCTTAAAACAAACAAACAAAAAAACAGAAAGAAAGAAACACTGTTCCACAAAAGAAAAGACAATGTCACATTACATTACCTTTGAAATAAGGGCATTACAATACCATGGTTAATGCAGCTCAGCTTTAGACATCTAGGTTCTCCACTGGCATCCTTTGGCAGCGAGTTTGAGGGAAAACTGTACTGTTGGGCAGGGCAGGAGTGGGAATTCTGGCTCTTTCTACTGGTTCTGAGGTGGAGTGGCCCCATTACGGTCAGATACGGCAAAAGTCTTTCTCTCTGCTCTTTTCTGACAACACCTTAGTGCAGAAGGCAGAAATGTTATCCAGAAATGGAAGTTTCATCTTGTTGGTCTTCTGTAATACTGACACACAGAAAGTGTGTTACAGCACCTCATTGCAGCCTGACGGGGAATCTAGACAACCTCCTTGGCTTTTGCCAGTAAGGGTCTGAGCAATGATGGTTGGCTGGGGCACAACAAATGTACCTTAAAAGTTATCTCTCCTACCAAGCCTCCTTTCTCCTGCTTGTGAGTGGCTTCTTTTCTTTTTTTTTTCTTTTAATTTTTTTTTATTAATTACACTTTATTTACTTTGTATCCCCCCTGTAGTTCCCTCCCTCCTCCCCTCCCAATCTCTCCCTTCCTCCTCCTTCTCCATGCATGTCCCTCCCCAAGTCCATTGGTAGGATCCTAGTCTGTTAGGTCGCCTTGGAGTGGCTGCATTGTCTTCTTCTGTGGCCTGGTAATGCTGCTCCCCCCTCGGGGAGGTGATCAAAGAGCAGGCCAATCAGTTCATGTCAGAGACAGTCCCTGTTCCCATTACTATGGAACCCACTAGGAGACTGAACTGTCATGGGCTACATCTGTGCAGAGGTTCTGAGTTATCTCCATGCATGCTACTTGGTTGGACTATCAGTCTCAGGGAAGACCCATGTGCCCAGAATTTTTGGTTCTGTTGCTCTCCTTGTGGAGCTCCTGTCCCCTCCAGGTCTTACTAACTCCCACATCTTTCATAAGATTCCCTGCACTCTCCTCAAGATTTGGCCATAAGTCTCAGCATCTGCTTTGATAGTCTGCAGGGCAGAGCCTTTCAGAGGCCCTCTGTGGCAGGCTCCTAACTTGTTCCCTGTTTTCTCCTTCTTCTGATGTCCATCCTCTTTGCTTTCTGGATGGGGATTGAGCATTTTAGTGGCTTCTTTTCTTAATGCAGTATTTTAAGGTGCAACAGTGTTGTGATTTGTGGCCATATATTTTTAGTCCTATGTATAATACCATTTTATGAATACTTTGTTTTATTCCTCTGTTTATTAGTTGATGGACATTTAGGTTATCCTCTTTTAGAAGTGAATAATGCAGTTATAAACATTTAAATTTTTGTGTGAACACATGTTTTAATATCTTATGCAAGTATATCCAGAATTTAATTTTTGGGTTGTATGGTACTAATTTATTTAACTTCTTGAGAAACTGCCAAACTGTTTTCCAAAGTGGGAATACCATTTTACTTTCCCATAAGCAATATATGAAGCTTCCATTTTCTTCAGTCCTTCAGTCCTATTTTCTCTTTCCCCCTTTCTTTCCTCCCCCCCTTCCTGCTTTCTTCCCTTCCTCTTTCCTCCCCTTTTTTCCCTTCCTTCGAGGAGGAGGTTTCAGTATGTTGCCTTGGCTAGCCTTGGATTTTCAGTCTTCTGGCTGATCCCCACAGGTAGCTGGGGTTACCGGCATGCACTGCAGCAAGTAATGTGCCTTTTTATTTTAATCTGCCTAGAGTGTTCAAAGTGGTCCTGCTTTTTTCCTCCACAATGATTAATGACATTGAACATATTTTTCATGGTGAAATTTCTCTTCTATTGTTTGGCTTTTAAGTTTTTATTAGTAAGTTGTAATAGTTTGTTATTAGCAGGCTTTGCTTTAGTTTCTGACTGCTTTTGATTCCTCTCCAGTTACTTCAGAAAGTGGTCTTTAATGACGCTTTCTCGGATTTCATACTTAGAAGAGTTTCTGTGATCAATTCTATGCTTCTTTTTTATAGTAACCTTATAAAAATTTTTAACTTATGTATATGCATCTTTGTGAGTCTGTGCCCACATGTGTGCGAGTGAGGCCAGAAGAGGGCATCAGATACTTTAGAGTTGACTTTCTGGCACTTGTCAGCCACCTAAAATGAGTGTTAGGATCTGAATTCAGGTCTTCTGAAAGAGCAAGCATAACTAACTACCAAGCCATCCCTCCAACAAGTTAAAAAAGCAAAACAAAACAAAAAAGCGAAAACAAGTAATGGAGACTTCAGTTTTTGAGAGTACTGTCTGGAAACATTCCATCTTATGTGTTTGAAATAGTTTCTTGTTTTTTTCTGAATGAGTGTCCATAAATCCAAGAAACTTATATTGTAAAAATTAATGTTTAAAATATCCAAATTACCAGTTAAACATTTTTATCAGGTTTAAGGTATATTTTGTTTACCTTTCTATTTATAATTTTAGGATGCCTTTTTAAAAATTATCCGAAATGAGGGCATTAAATCCCTGTGGAGTGGCCTCCCTCCTACTCTGTAAGTTGAAATTTACTGTTTTCTACTAAGTATGGTTGTAATCAGCGTGGTTGAATAAAGCCTTGCATTTTTATGTTAGAACTCTTTACTTCCTGAAGTATTGTTTTATAAGTTTCACATTTGACGTTCTAGAAGGATTCACAGAGCCCAAGGACGGTTATAGTCATGTATATGATTTGTTACAGTTAGAACATACCGGGTATAATAGTAAGGAAGAAAGGCGTCCGAAGGTGACGTATCACTTTCTAAAACTCTTTCCCTGGCACAGCACAGGGTGGACTGACTTTGGCAACAGGTGGCTGAAATGTGTGAAGTGCCTCTGCCATCGAAAACTCACCTGAGTCTCAGAACATACATTTTATTGCTTGTTGGCTACACGGAGCTTCATATCCCAGAAGGAAGATAGTAACCGTGTGGCCCTAGTTGCCCCTTTTGCATAGTCAGTCTTGACAAATTGTCTTAGAGCATCACACAGAGCTAACGTGCAATCCTCAGGTGCCTAAAGGTTACAAATAGGCTCTCATGATGTTATAGAAAATTTAAGCAACCAAGCCCACTGTGTTAAGTTTTTGCTGTCCACATAGTTTTTGTTTGAAAACAAGTAATTTGATGTTTTCTTTTTGTTGTACCACTGTAAGGCATATTGAATGTTTATATATCCAATTCTAGTTCTCTACTAAGTACAAATTTGTGAATGAACAATACTCAAAAACTGAATGTAAAAGCTCTATCAGATGTTTTGGCTTCCTCTGCTTCACCACTTCCTTCTGTCTTTCGTGTGGCAGGGATTACTCAGTCTTGAGGCGTATTTGAGGCACATATTTGACACATATCATGTCTACGATGATAATGTTAGTGGCAGCTCTGCGTTCAGTCCTATTTCTAAATTTTTAGCATTGAAAATCTCTATAGAATAAAGCATTCCAAGCTATGGGCATTCACTGTGACTGTTATGATATACCAGAAACATAAAATGATTTTTCGTGGCACTTATCTGTACGACACACTGGTGCCTGGAATTTTTACTGAATTTAATTAATGCTTCCCTTTGATATGTTCCTGTTAAGTGTCATCAGAACTTCCTCACAATTAACGTTTGTAATCCTGGCAGTGGAGTTGTAACTCACTTCTACTTGCGAGCAGCTGTGCTATATGAGCTGTGGTTTAACACTGTTACAGTTGTTCTTGAGCTTTTAAGAAAATTGCAGTCAGAAAGATGGCTCAAATGATGGAAGGGTGCCTTTCATGGACGCCTGAAGCTCTCAGTTGTGGTCCCCAGCATACACTTTAAAATGCCAGGCACCTCAGTGAGCACCTGTAATCCTACTACAGGGAGGCAGAGACAGACATGTCCTGCTGTTCGCTGTTCAGGCAGTTTAGTGACCCAGGAGAGATCCTATCTCGAAAAGAAAGAAGGTGGAAAGCAACTGAGCAAGACACCCCGACCTTTGGCCTTGTCTCTCTGTGCATGCTTTCACACAAACCTACATAGGTGCATAATCACACGTACACACATTCCCCTCATGGGGTAACTAGAATTTTTAGTTTATCCCATACTTGTAATGTGTGAACTAACACTATAGTTGAGGCCTTTGATAATTATGAACATATTTTGTCTGTATTTCTAACAGCGTGATGGCAATTCCTGCCACAGTTATTTATTTTACCTGCTATGACCAATTAAGCACTTTTCTGAGATCTAAATTAGGAGAAAATGAAACCCGAATACCAATAGTTGCTGGGATTGTCGCCAGATGTAAGTAATGAGTTTATTTTTATTTATATTTCCTTAGAACATCTAAATTCTGGTATTTACAGAGAATCTGTACAATGTACAAAATACTGGTATGATGTGTTTTCCATTCTAGTTTGTAATCATGGTTGATGTCTTCACTCCAGAAGTCATGTAGTAAATAGGTGATTGCCATCAGAATCAGATAGGATTATCTCATTTTCATTGAATTTCAGATAGTCATTAAAGGTTATGTCAGAATTGATTCTTACCTACATTTCCAATGTATCTGAATCCATACATGACTCAAGCCAAGGCATTAATAACATTTCTTAAAACTTTAGAATTCAGAGCTTAGTCAGAGGAAGGTTGCCTCTGTGCAGGACATTCTGTGTTAAATAGGCGTAGGCTGAACATGGTAGCGCATGATAATCCCAGCACCTGGGAGACAGAATTGGCGATCTGTGAAGGCTGGTTTTGTATAGGGTTCTGTGCCAGCCAGGGCCACATAGGGAGAAGTAGTTGTCATCTATTTGCAAGTGCTAACTGGAATTTTTACTGTTACCCTTGAAAGAGCTGAAACCAAGAAGGTGTATGTTTATTTTGACATACTTATGAGCAAAAGCTTTTGCCATCATTAGCTATTTTATTTCAGTGTTTATAAACATCAAGAATCAGTGAGGATAACATAGCCATATGAAATACGAATTCAGGAAGGGAGAATACTGGGGGCAGAAGGATGCAGGGAGAAAAGGGTCCATGTGGAAATGAGGGAACAGGAACAAATGTCATAAGGAACCTTTTACTTTGTCAGCAGATTACATTTTTTAAAAATACAAAACTTAGATTTAACCTGGCAGTAGAGCTACCGTGATCAAAGGTGGTTTCCCCAGGGTGAGACTCGCCCACTGGATTCTGGTGTGCTAACCTCTGCAGTTTCCCCAAATGCGGGAAACTTGAGTGCATAATTGATGGGGGTGGGGTGGGGGTGGGGTGGAGGGAGCATGTTAAAGAAACAAAACATAAACATTCACTTTTGCTCCCATCGTATCTGCTTTACTTTCTGTGCTGTTTGTATTAGTTGGTGCAGTAACAGTGATAAGTCCGTTGGAACTGATCAGAACTAAGATGCAGTCTAAGAAGTTTTCTTACAAGGAGCTGCATCGCTTCGTGAGCGTCAAAGTGTCTCAAGACGGTTGGATTTCCCTTTGGAAAGGCTGGGCTCCTACCATTCTCAGAGACGTGCCTTTCTCAGGTGGGATTTGTCTTATGAGTAGAGGCTAATTTTAGACAGCTTATTCTTAGATCGTGTATTGATTTTACCAGGTTTTAAACACTTTATCGTTAAAAGTAATTTTCTGTAGTGACCAAAGATTTGTAGTTCATTATTCAGATTTCAGAACCTAACTAGCCTTTATTGACTGAACAGTTTCTAATTTAGGTCCTTATGGTTTTTCTTTGTTTATTCGTATTCAGATAATACAAAGTACCTTAACATTACCCTAAATAAATCACAATCAATAGGACAATTAAAATACAAATCAAAATATTATAGGATGTACTTCAGACTATCTTTAAATTAATTGAATTCTGGTTTTTTTTTAGTAATTAAAAGTGAAAATTTTGGGGCTGGAAAGATGGCTCAGAGGTTCAGAACACTGCCTACAAGAGTAGGCAAAGGTCCTGAGTTCAATTCCCAGCAACCACATGGTGGCTCACAACCATCTATAATGCGGTCTAGTGCCCTCTTCTGGCCTGCCTGCAGGCACATATGCAGTTAGTACACTGTATAAATAATAAATCTAAAAAAATAAAAACAAAATTTCCAATTAAGTATTCCGTAAAAGGCTGTTATAAATCAAATGATTGTGACATAAAGTAATCGCAGGCTCCTATGCCAATTAACTCTTAAGAATATATTCTGTTACATAAAAAGAAACATATATATTTATAGTTAGAACACCTGTGAACTTGCCACGACACCGAATGAGCTTGAGCGTTCAGTGAGTTAGATCATGAAGCCATTTATGTACCTGTGCACTTCTGCTCAACACCGTAACCTAGCGGTGACCTCCATACTAGCTTTTAAAAAACGCCTGTGAAGTCAGTATAGGAGTTGGTTCTCTCCTTCAACTGCGTGGGCTCTGGATTGAACACCCAAATCTAGGTTGTCAGACAAAGCAGCAAGTGTCCAACCCACCAAGCCATCACACTGGCCCCACACTGGGTTTTATCGGTGCACTTGACCATAAAATGTTTTCCATCGTATCCTTAAAAATACATTGTTTAGTTTCGATCTCTAAAACCACCTTCCTCCTACTCAAAAATTTCATAAGATACATTGTAATTCTGTAGGTAACCGTTTTCTTACTTTTTTACTCTAGTATATTGTCTTAGTTAGGGTTTTAGTGCTGTGAAGAGACACCATAACCACAGCAACTCTAATAAAGGAAAACATTTCATTGGGGCTGGCTTACAGTTGCAGAGGTTTCGTGTATTATTGTCATGGCGAGAAGCACAATGGCAGGCAGGCAGGCAGATGTGGTGCTGGGGGAGTTGCTGAGAGTTCTACATCTTGATGCACAGGCAGCAAGGAGGGACTTACACTAGCCAGTCGTGAGCTTGTAAGACCTCAAAGCCCGTCCCCAGTGACACACTTCCTCCAAGAAGGCCACATCTCCTCTAATAGTGCCACTCTCCACAGGCCAAACATTCCCACAGAGTCAGTGGAGGCCATTCCTAGTCAAACCCCCACACGTGTGTAGAGAGGAGAACTGCCGTGAAAAAATTGTGTGCTGTTCCTTACTGTGCCTGCCAACAGCTTTCCCGTATTGGACTTGCCGATTCCTCTAAATATCTTCAGTAGATTTTTAGTTTCGCTAGTTAAAAGTGCACTTTTGTTTTGTTTGTTGGTTGAGACAGAGTTCCTCCAAGTAACCCTGGCTGGCCTGGAATTTGATATATAGACCAAACTGGCCCCAAATTCAGAGGTCTGCCTGCCTCAAGTTTAGAATTAAAGGTATGTGCCACCACGTCCAACTAAAATTGACCCTTTAAAAAAAGTGATTATAACCAGGTGTGGTGGCTTATGTCTATAATAGCAACACTTGAGACATGAGGAGCACTATGAGTTTGAGGTCAGGCTACACTATGCAGTTCCCTGTAGGAAAACAAACAAAAACCTCAAAAACAAGACCAAAGAAGTAGCTCAACGATGAAGAGCACTCGCCACATTTGCCTTCTTGCAGAAGGCCTGGGCTCAGTTCCCAGCACCCACATGGCAGCTCACAACTCCATCCTAACTCCTGACAGATCTGACACCCTCTTCTTACCTCTGTTGGCACCTGGCATGCCAGACATGTATGCAGGCGCATAATTAAAATTTTAAATCTTCTAAAACAAAATAAGGAACAAGAATAGGGCCAGGAGGGTGATTCAGTAGTGCTTGTTGTCAAGCCTCATGACCTGAGTTCAGTCTCCAGGTTCCACAAAGTAAGAGAGAAACAGCTCCTGTGAGGTGTTTTCAGACCTGCACATGTACACACACCCACATGCGGTAATTAGTTGTTGTAAAAAAGAAAATTAAGTGATTTTATGGATGTATACATTTATTATCAGTTATGATGCTTTCTACTGCCTTGTACTTTTATAAGCTCTTCATGGTCAAGGTCCTTAAATTGTGTTTATTTGGTCACTTAAAGTGTCTCACTTTGAATTGCATTTCACTGACAACTTACAAAGGTTGGCATTGTTTCATTGACCATTTGTGTAGAGATAATTGATTTGGGGATATGACTCAAAAAAGAGGTCATTGTCAACATCATTCACTGAGTAGCTTTAATTGGTAAAGATTTTCATGTATAGATGAATTTTGTCTTAATTGATTCATTTGCGTGATACTAATTTGCCAATAATACTGTCCAAATCACTAGTGCATTATAAGGTGTTCCAGTAACTATTTAAATTTTTTTCATAAATGTTATGTATATATTCTTTTTATATATTTTATAAATCTACTTCACTTTCCAGGTTTTGGTAGCATTGTTTGTTGAGTGATGGGGGCTGAACCCAGGACATTATATATGCTAGGTCAGTGCTGTCCCCTGAGCTGCTTCACCAGCCCTTGCTGGTTCTTTTTAAGCCTGTATTTTTATAATAAATATGTTTTCATTAAAGCCTTATGGGTAATATAGCTGAAATTGAGTTTTGCCTTTTAGCTGATATCTAGCTACCTTTTTAAAAAAAATGAATAAATTCTAATTAACCAAAATATCTTTTGAGCTTCTGTGTAAATAATGTATTTTAAGGCTTTAATATTTTAATTTTTATTTATCCTAGCTTTTTTCTTCCTATGTATTAGTAGTCACTTTTGCTACAAGTTTTTAGAACATATCTTTTATCAGAAACACTGTTTATCTTTATATTTCCAAGAAATTTGAATTTGCTTTAAATGGAAGTGTGAATTGTATGAGATGTTTTGCATCATCCGTAGGCTCTTCCTATAGTTTTATTAGTGCAGTGTGTAGCATGAATCATGTTAAATACCCTTGTATTTCTGGGCTGCTTCGTCTAGCCAGTGTGGCCTCTTTCGGCACTTGGCTTTGGTGTACCTTGTCTTTGTCTTGGTTCTTGTCAGTACATCACCCTTTATCCATCTTTTCCCCTACTTACCCTGTCAGGTATTTAATTATATTTCAGCTGTATTGATGTAAAAGTTTGTTTTTTTAAAAGACTGTTAAAATATTTCTTAGAATTTTAATCCCCTGTTCTAATCCCACCTAGTTTTAAACATAAAGGACAGTGTATCAATCCTAGAGTCCTGCTTTACTTTGATTTGTAATGTCATAGCTTTTTTCTCTGAAGTCTATGTTTTTTTTTTTTTTTATTTTTCTGAATTTGTGCTCATTTCATTCTCTGTTTTATAGCAATGTACTGGTATAACTATGAAATTTTAAAGAAGTGGTTGTGTGAGGAATCTGGTTTATATGAACCGACATTTATGATCAACTTTACATCAGGGGCATTGTCTGGTTCTGTAAGTTTTGTTTTGTTTTATTTATTTATTTTTTTTTTTGTTGTTGTTGTTAATATTCCAGAAAACTGCTGTTTTAGTACTAAAACAGAACAAGATCTTATCTAGCATTTCATGAATATTGAAAAGATACTTTTCAGGAAGTAAATTGTTAGCCATTAAACTATATGAGAACTGTATTATTTTTATTCTACACACATTGGTTTTGAACAGATTAATCTTGGTTAGGTATCATGACTGTGTAATACAGCACTATTTTTTTGCAGAGTATTTTACAGTACATTAATTCAATAAATGATAGTAGATACAGTTCTACCTAGTAGTCATGAACTTTCGTCTAGTGTGTATCATCAGATCAAACAGGCAGTGTTCTGTTCTCTGCTGCTGTGGCTCTTTGGAAACATTTTGGCTATTTAGAAATTTATAAAGGAATTTTGAGAAACATTGACACCAGAAGACAGGAACCACAAAGGACCATTTCTGGGTAATAGGAAGCTCATCCTTCCTCACGCTCCAACTGGTGCAGACTTGTCTTACCACACCTTGGGCCAGAGAGAGTTTCCTTAGGTCCACATACTTCCAAAATTAGTGTATAACCATTTGCCACCAGACACAGACAGATTATAGCTACAGGGCAACAAGACTTTAAGTAGCACTCACTGCTGGAGAGGTGGGAGCAGGAACCTTGGGTTCAGCGCCAGCCTGGACTATGCGATGACATCCTTTGTTCTTAAAGCAAAACAAGCAGGACTTAAAGGGCTGAGTGAAGAGGTAGAAAGTGGCAGAAAAGTGGGAATAATATGTCAGCAATCTAGGATAAGATGTAGGTGCAAGAGTTAGAAAAACAACAGATCTAATGGCAGTCAGTGGTAAAATAATTACCAGTGAGAGTGCACCAGCTGTATAGGAGTGGAAAGGTCTCCAGTTTAATGTTGCTATTTAACGTAAAAAAAAAATTGATTTATTTTTTGGTTTAGGGATTATTCGTAGTATTAAAAACTTTCAAGTAAAGATTTGTCTGTGCAGTGGAAAAAGCACACGAATGTGATGCTGCCACGAAGAACTGTTTTGTTTTTAACTGTTAGTTAGAAGCTGTGGGAGCAGCCTGTGGTTTCTCCACGGTTGATTGTTGAGATTAGACTCTGGCAGCGTATTTCACGGTATCTGCAGTCTTTGCAATTGATGTCACAACATATGGTTGAGATAAATGTGATTTTTAGGAGGCACTTCATGAATGTTTTTATTCAAATGTGAGCTAGGAAACACATGTATATGGATATTACATCAGATGTTCTGAGAACATTCTTAAAGGAATTTACTTATCTGTTTAAATCTCACTTAAGGCAGTATGGAAAAAGGTGTTAAATTACTATGAGAAGAGCTTAGAAAATGTGATTTTTTTTTTTTTAACCATTGCAACTATATATATGTTAAAAACCATTAAAGGGTATAAAGACACAACCTTTGAAGTATATTTTCATTAACTTTTAAATTTAATTTTTCTAATTATTTGAAAATGTTTGCTGGAAATTTTCATATGCTAAGTACACACGAGAGAATTTCTGCTTTAAAAAATGTTTAAAAACTCTGAGTGTAGTGGCTCATGCCTATCATCCCAACACTTGCCAAGCAAGGCTGGAGTGTCAGGACTTCAAGGTAGTCCTTGGACACCTCCCTCTGAGACGGTTTACTTGGGAGCTTTTTGATGAATACCGTAGATGTAACCTGTTTTCATCATTAAAAACTTTAAATATAGCCAGGCACAGTGGCACATGCCTGTAATCCCAGCAGTCGGGGAGGTAGAAGCAGGCAGATCTCTATGAGTTCAAGGCTAGCCTGTTCTACAAGATAAGTCCAGGACAGCCAAGGCTACACAGAGAAACCCTGTCTTGAAAAATCAAAAAAGAAAAGAAAAAAAGCCCAAAACTTTAAATATATCTGATTTATTTTAAATTTCAGTGTGATTTTGTCATTATCCATATTAAATAATGTGCTAATAAGTTTTTTAAATATTGTTTTAAAAAATTAAGCATCTAAATTAACTTTATTTTTTGATAGTTTGCAGCTGTTGCAACTTTACCATTTGATGTGGTGAAAACACAGAAACAGACACAACTTTGGGCATATGAAAGTGGCAAAAGTAAGTTTAATTTAAAGTGTTTTAAGATGCCGTTGTTTCCCTTGTGTTATTTGATTAGGAATACATAAAGTCTGGAAACACGTTTGTTTCTCTTAGTCCTTAATCTTCTTTAATGAAACTGATAAAGATATTTTACTAGAATGGAAAACTTAGAAAAATACTAAGGAAGTTTCAGACTTATTTATGTCTTTATTTTTTGAGACAGGATTTCTCTGTGTAGCCTTGTTTGTCCTTGAACTCAGTCTGTAGAGCAGGCTGACCTCAAACTCAGCGAGATCCACCTGTTTCTGCCTCCGAAGTGTTGGGATTAAAGATGTGCACCTCCCTCACCCCGCAGTTTTAGGAATTTTACAGCTTGTTTTTTGTCTGCTGTCATTTAAGCCTCTTAACTGCTGTGAAAAAGAAGAAAAAAAACTACTTTTATCATGAAAAGCTATGTTGTTACAAATCTTGATTGTTTTCAACTCTGTTTCAAATTTGTGCTCTTTGAAATAAATCAATACCATTTTAATCAACAAATCAGTATAAAAGTTAAAAAAACAAACAAACAACAACAACAATAACAAACGGCCATCCAGGGCTATATGTCAAGACCAGATCTCTAAAGAGACTTTTTCTTCTCAAGTTGATTAGCTTCCTTATTCTTACTGTTTTTCCCTACCTGTTTCTTCACCATTTTTTTTTAAACTTCCTTAGAGTGAAACGACGTCTGCGCCCTTCTGCCAGCCCCCGCCACATACACCATCATTTATTCTGGTTTAGACGTATAGCAGACCTGGTGGTTACTGTGCATGCCTGTAACCCAGCACTTGGGAAGCAGGGACAGGATCATGAGTTCAGAATCTCCCTAGTGTGTGACTAGGTGAGACCCTTCTTGAAAAGCAAGGGAGAGAAGCAAAGAAAAAAGAAACATGGTGTAACAAGCCTAAAGGAATTAGCCATTGTAAAAGTGTTTTGTATAAACGCCATGATAGCGTATTTTAATAGAAACAATATTTTCTAACCTATTGTTTTTGCCTGAGTTAGGCGTTATAATGTTAAAGAAATGTTGTTTACAGACCACTGTAAATTAATCTTTATGAATGGCTTTATCTTTGACCTACTAAATACCAAGTTTCCTCTAATATTGGACACTAACAAAGCCAGGGAGGTAGTTGTAGTTTTATTCTGTCAGTTTGGATACAGTTATTTATAGGCTTTATATTTAAATGTAGTGGTATCCCCATTTAGCAAGGTTTTTAAATTTCCCCCTCTATCATTTGAAGGAAATACTACAGAACTAATTAAATTAGAAAGGTTGTGAATGAAGCAGAACATTAGGGAGGAAAAATAACCTGTCCTCAGAATAATTCTTAGGGAAAAATATATGTATTTTTTCTTCTATTAATCTTTGGATAATAAAGTTGAAATGAAAATGCTTTTGTGGAGTAGTCTAAGATTAGAAGAGTTATAGTAGGTGCTTTTTCTATATCTTGCATTTTTCATTGTGAAAGACTTTTAACATGAAAGAGTATGAAGAGTAATAATACACTGATTTAAAGCAGCTCCTGCCATCTCTATTGTGTGCTCCTCCTTGTTTGCTTACAGGTGTATGCATGTAGCGCTGCCTTCTTTTTAAGGAAGCCAGGCATTAAAAATTGAACTTGGATCTGGTGTGTTCCCCAGCACTGAGAAGGCTGGGGCAGGAAGATTGTGAGCATGAGGGCTACCTCAGCGAGGGAACAGGTCAGGCTAGGCTATGTAGTCAGACCAGATTTGAGCATGACAAAACAAAAAATGAATGACAGTAACTCCTGGATAAACAAATCTTTTCTTATTACAGTTAAATATTATAATACCAAAGATAATAAGCACCATTATTTATGTATGATCTTGTAAGGCCTTGAATGAGAATGGCCCCCATAGGCTCATATATTTGAATGCTTGGTCTCAGTTAGTGGAACTATTTGGAAAGGATTAAGAGGTATGGCCTTGCTAGAAGAGGTGTGGCATGCTGGAGGAGTTATAGCACTGGGGGTGGGCTTTGAGGTTTAGTCCAGGCCAGGCCCAGTGTCTCTCTGCCTGCTGCCTGAGCATCAGGATGCAAAGCTCTCAGCTGCCACTCCAGCACAGTGTGTGTCTGCTCCCTACCATGATGATCATGGACTAACTCTCCAAAACTGTAAGCAAACCCCCAATTAGGTGCTTTTTGCTTTTTGTTTAAAAAAAAACAAAACAAAACCCAAGAATTGTCTTGGTCATGGTGTCTTATCACAGCAATAGACAGATCTGTAATATAAATTATTAACTTGTGTGCTGGAGAGATGGCTCAGCAGTTAGGAGCGATGTCTGCTCTTCCAGAGGTCCTGAGTTCAATTCCCAACAACCACATGGTGGCTCATAACCATCTACTGGGATTTGATGCCCTCTTCTGGCCTGCAGGGGTACATGCAGTTAGAGCACTCCTACACAAAATAAATGAACAATTTTTTTTTTTAATTACTAACTTGTGTTTTATGATGCTATTTTTTTTTAACATTTCTAGTTCCTGTGCCTTTGCATATGTCAACTTGGACTATAATGAAGAATATTGTTGCTAAAAATGGGTTTTCTGGGTTGTTTACAGGTAAAAATCCTTGCTTTATAGTCTTTGGACACAGTCATTATTTTAATATTTCCTTTTACAATTAGCTTCTAGAAAAAAATGATAGGTGAAATTTTATATTTATTATTTTCTCCTAAATATTACTATAATTTAAAGTAAATAATTATGTAAATTATTATGTTCAATAATAGATTTATTATTATAAGAAAAATTTGAATCTGAGGTTGGGATTGAGTAATTTGATCTTTGCTGCCTATTTATGATATAGAATTTGATAATTGCAATTCATTTAATTTGGTGATTATGAAGCCAAATGCTACATTTTAAATAAATAAGGTAAATTGAGGTTTTTTTTTTTTCCCTATTCTCTTTTCAGGTATAACTCCTCGAGTAATTAAAATTGCTCCTGCTTGTGCCATTATGATCAGTACATATGAATTTGGAAAGGCTTTTTTCAAGAAACAAAATGTTGAAAGGCAATAATTCTCTTGATGGACTTTTGGTTTGAAATAACCAGAGCCAACTAGGATGAAGACTTGTAGACATGATGGTTTTTTCAACATTATTCTATTACCGGGTAACTTTGTCTTCCCTATGATTTAAATGAATAATAATTCCTAAATCTACCTCTAAACCATAATCCTACTTTTAATGTTTTGGTATTTTAAAAACTAATAAAAAAAAAAAAAAAAAAAAACTAATCCAGAAACTGCAGCCATTTAGGGCTCTTGCAAAGAAAATTACTCCTTAGCAGAGAAGGTAGTTTCCTGAGTGCATATAACATTACCTCTTTCACTGTAAGTTAATGCTGCCAGTGTGGGGTGCATCAGAACGTTGGGATTGTGTGCTGAATGACACACTCTAGAGAATTAACTCTTATGCACATTCAGATCATACACATTAGCATTTCCGTAGAGAGTGGGTTGATTTCCTCAGTTCAAGTGCATTGCATTTTCTCACTGCTGTTACTACTCTAAGGCCTGCCTCCTGTAGCTTAGAATCTGCTGAAGGTATAGCCACTTCATTTGCATGATGTAAAGGACTGACGTTAGTGACTCACAACCCTTACCTAATGTTTCTGTGGGGGGCGTCTTCACTGAGAGTAAGTGTGTATTCACTTGAATTTGGATCTGCAGTAGAAAACCATGCTGTACTTAGACTGGTGAAAATAAATAGTTCGAGCACAGGAATGGCTTCTGCTTTTAACTAGCTTGTATTCTAAGTGTCGATGTTGGTAGAGTTCTTTAGGTCAGTTCTGCAACTTTTTCTAATAAAGTCAATATTCCCTAACTTAAAAAGACCAAAATAATAAATTTTCCAAGAAGTTCAACTCTTCTATGTGATGTCCCAATATGATGCTGCTACAGGGAAAATCCCACACCTTCCCTCAAGTGACAGTATACAGAATGCAGGCACATAAAAATATATAAATTGCCTTCAGGCTGTTTATATAAATTGTACATGAAACACATGAATATATTTATCACTCTTAAGTAGGAATGAGGTTTTTAAAAATTACACGTATTTATTTTTTTGTTTATGTTTATGTGTATACTGAAGGTCAGAGGAAACTTTCAGGAGTTAGGTCTCACCTTCCACAGTGTAGGTCTTGGGATTTGGACTCAGGTGGTCAAGCTTAGCAACAAGTGCCTGTACCCACTGAGCCCAGGAGTGAGATTTTAAAGTATGATTGGAATGAAGTTCAGGGGTAGAATGTGAAACTCTTGAGTTTCATCTCCAGCACAGATGATAAATAATTTAAACCAATAAGATGGCAATGTAAGAAATGCTCTTCTGTTTTACTTATCTCAGTAAAGCAAAAGCACTTTATTATGCTCTGTGTGTATCCTATGAAGTACCCCTCTCGGCCCCAACAGCATAATGTATTTTGGTGACAGATCTCTAGTTGGTTGGTAGAACAAGTGCATTTTGTATCATAGTAGAAAGCATTTGTAAATTTCATCAGAAATAAATGATACAGGAGTTATTGTACCATGGTATTCTACATTACAATCCTGTGTTGATTTACATTAAAAATTTTAATATGTCCACATATGTATGTGTGATGTTTTCTTTTCATTAAAATATTATATGCTTGCTTAAAAGTACCATTGTTCTCTGTAATGGTTTTCATATACAATCACTATATAATGCTAGGAAATAACATACATGAAAGTTGATTATTAAAATTAACTTTTACCTTAGTTTTGTTACATTTCTTTTTATTGTTAAAAAAGGGCAGGGAAGTCTTATTTTATGGTATTGTTTCTAACACATTATATGCACTGTAGCCAGATTAAAAAAAAAAAAAAAAAGAAGAAGTGTAAATTTGGACTTGGCAGATGGCTCAGGGTAAGAGCACCGGCTGCTCTTCCACAGGACTTGGTTCACAGTTCGCTGTACCCTCAGTTCCGGGTGCTCCGCTGCCCTGTCTGGCTTCCACGGGCCCTGCACACACGTGGTGTGCATACATATGTGTAGGCAGGGCACCCATGCATAATAAGTTGAAGAAATATATATGTAAGTTGACATTTTTCTCTACATTTAACTCATAAAGTAACATTAACACTTTGTGTTTGTTTCATTTTTGTTTTTTAAGATGGGGTTTCTCTGTAGCTCTGGCGGTGCTGTACTTGCTTTGTAGACCAGGCTGGCCTCAACACAGAGATCCTCCTGCCTCTGCCTCCCAAGTGCTGGGATTAAAGGGCATTAGCACTTTTAAAATAACTTTTTTTGTATTATATGAGTTTCAATAAAATTATTTCATGAAATAAATATTGCACTTTCAATTTTCTCCAAAAGTTTTGTCTTCTAAAATAATGGAACCATTATTGGCTTGAATATCCTCAGATAACACATTAGTTGACAGACTAAGCTTTTGACCCTGTGTGCTTCTCAGGCTCAGGCACACATGCTGTAGGATTTGCAGTCTTTGCAAGCACAGCCTATATGTGTGTTCTTTCATAATGTGGTTGGTTGTTGTCATCGGAATGTGAAACATGTACAGGCTCATGTTTGAACACTCAGTCCACAGAGACTTGTTTTAGAAGTTGCGGATCCTTTCAAAGCTAGAGCCTTGTTGGCACAGGGTGGGGCCTCAGATGTGATAGCTTGGCACCAATTCTGTCACTGTCTCCTGACTGGCAGTGCGATGCACCCAGCCTAGTCAGGGAACAAGTCAAAGCTTATGGCCCAAGGACTTACTCATAAATAGTAAGTCGGAGTCCTTGTTTCAGAAACTGGAAACAAGCTTAAGAGGAAAACCCGTGGTTACAATGGTTACAAATGGCAGATACGAGATTACTCATAATCGCTCAAAAATGTGTATCAAAACGTAAAATGGTGACAAAAAAAACTGATTTGTTTTATTACTTTTTAAAATTTCTGTGAACTGTAATCACTACCAGCTTGCATTTTGCAGTGATCTGTTTAGAGCTTGTGAAAGTGGTCAGAGCACTTTTTACAAAATTAATAGCTTTCGTCAACCCTTGCCAATAAATAAATAAATAAATAAATAAATAAATAAATAAATAGATAGATAGATAGATAGATAAATAAATAAATAAATAAATAATGGTTGTATGAAGGATTTTCACACACAGCTCATAACTTCCATAAAAGAACTGTGGCCTTAAACAAAAAATACTTCACAATGACATCTGCCCAGCAATGTCCCTTCACCTTGGTCTGACACATGCTTTTCATTATGCCTTGTGGCCTACCTAATCTTGTTTGAAATTAGATACTCTGTCCTATAATTCCTTGGAGCATTTTTCCCTTTCGAAAAGCCAAAATCTTTCTCTTAAGATGTGGCATAAGACAGGAATCACTCTCTCACTATTGTTACTCAACAGGACATTCGGGCAAAGGGAAGAGTTTCCACACTGAAAGAGAAGTTTTTTCAGTTCATACACCAAAGATCCACCCCAAACTTTCAGAACCAGTGGGTGAATTTAAGAAAGTTGCCAGATATAAGATGAACAGTAGAGTTCTTACATGCCAAGAGCGAATTATCTGGAATAAAAATCAATAAAGCAAACCTGATTACAATAGATGCACTCACATCTATGAACACGTTGATTCCTAGGAATAAATGTATTAGCTAGGGAAGGGTCTTTTTGATAAGAGTTATAAAATATGAAAATTTTGAAGGGAAAAAGAGATGAAATTATGCTCTTAGATTAGGGGAAAAACAACTTTCACTTATCTTTACATATCGTGGTCAGATACCTGAGAGAAGCACCTCAACAGGAGGAAAGACAGGTTGACCGATAGCTTCCGGAGTTCATCTGAAGTGGTGGGCGGGATTGAAGGATGGTGGGCGGGATTGAAGGATGGTGGGGAGGTGGCAGATTGGCTTCCTCACCTAGGCAGACAGAAGAGCAGCTCACACCATGGTGAGCAAAAATCCTCATTAAGAGAGCCTGGGCAACACACAGCTTCCAACCAGGCCCCATAGTTCTGGTACCTTCCAGATGCCATTTGAATGTTAGACTCTTCAGTGAGTTAACTCTTCCTTTGGGCCAGAGCCCTCACTATCTACTTGTGTCTGGAAATGCTCACTCAGGGTGTGCTTCATCAGTTTCCCAGGTATTTCTTAGTCCAGCCTCCTTGACAAGATAAACTATCTCACTAAGCAAATTTCATCATAGATTCAATGTGGTATCCCTGTTTCTCCTTCCCTACCTCAATTACCTTTCAGAGATGTGTAACCTGTTTTCCACCTGTGGCCACCTTTAGTGGGTCACTAAAGGTGATGTGGTGTAAGACAAGACTCACTCGCTACTGTTACTGCTTTTCCCCCAACCTTCTGGGTGGGAAATGGCCTAGGAAACTTCTTCCAGTGTGTGAGCACTCCTGGCTTCCCTAGGCTGTTTGTGAGCACAAGGACCACTGTGCTCCCAGCAGGGCTGGCAAGGTTGCATGGTTAAAGCATGGGGTTTAGTTTCCAGGACTAGGTGGGGGAAAGCCCCAAGGACTAGACTCAATTCTATTACCAGTTTTAAAAATCAAGTAAATTAAAGACTTAAATGTAGGACTGAAACTATGAACTCATGAAGAACACAGGAAGTAGCAAGATACTGGAAAAGACAGGATTGTTTTGGACAAGACCATAGAAACAGAGGCAACAAAAGCAAAGCCAGACACATACAGTAAGTGAAAAGCTAGTATACAGCAAAGGATCTTAACAGTAAAGAGTCAACCCAAAGGAAAGGGAGAAGTTACAAACTATACCTGTGAAAAGGTGTTCTAATCCAGACTATATAAACCCCAAAATCTCAACAGCTAAAAATAAAACCCCTAAAAATAGGTGACAGAGCAACAAGGACATTTGCTCAACCATGTTTGTAGCAGCTTTATTTGTAATAGCCAGAACCTGGAAACAATCCAGATGTACATCAACGGAGGAATGGATACAGAAATTGTGGTATTTTTACACAATGGAATACTACTCAGCAATCAAAAAGGAGGAAATCATGAAATTTGCAGGCAAATGGTGGGATCTAGAAAAGATCATTCTGTGTGAAGTATCCCAGAAGGGGAGAAAGACACACATGGTATATACTCACTTATATAGACCTACAAGATAAGATAAACATAATGAAATCTATACACCTAAAGAAGATAAACAAGAAAGTGGACATGGGGTAAGATGCTCAATCCTCACTTAGAAAGACAAATGGGATGTGCATTGGACATATGACAGGAGTCTACCGCAGAAGGCATCTGAAAGACCCTACCAAGCAGCGTTTCAAAACAGATACTAAGACTCATAACCAAACCTTCAGCAGAAGGGGAGTTAGTATGACGTGGAAAGGATAGGAGCCCCACAAGGACCAAATATATCTGGGCACAGGGGCCTTTTCTGAGACTGATACTCCACCAAGGACCATGTATGGATATAACCTAGAACCTCTGCTCAGATGAAGCCCGTGATAGCTTAGTAACCAATTGGTTTCCCATAGTAAGGGGAACAGGGACTATTTCTGACAGGAACTCAATGGCAGGCTCTTTGACCTCCCCACCCAACAAGGGAGGAGCCGTCCTGCTAGGCCACAGAGGAGGACTTTGCATCCAGTCCTGAAGATACCTGATAAGCTAGGGTCAGATGAAAGGGGAGGAGGTCCCCCCCAATCAGTGGACTTGGAAAGGGGCAGGGGAAAGATGAGGGAGGGAGGGTGGGATTGGGAGGAAATAAGGGAGCGGGATACAGCTGGGATACAGAGTTAATAAAATGTAACTAATAATAAAAATAAATTAAATTTTAAAAAAGATAGGTGATAGAAGCTTTCAGGATGGCTCACTGGGCAAAGGTGTTTGATGCCCTGAGCTTGATCCCTAGGAACCACATAGTGAGAACTAGTCCCACAAGTTATTCTCTGACACAAACACATGCACACATGCACAAAAAAAATAAATGCAGTGTTGTTTTAAGCAAGGGAGATATATATAAATATATATATATATAAATTTGTGTGTATATATATATAAATTTGTGTATATATATATATATATACAAATTTAAAACTACATTTCTCAAAAGAACATGCAGATATACAAGTACTTATATAATAGTCATCTTTTTATATAATTTTTATTTTTAATTTATTGTTAAATTTATTACAGTTTATTCACTTTATATCCCAACTGTAGTCCCCTCCTTTGTCCCCTCCCAATCCTACCTTCCCTCTCTCTTCTCCCATGCCTCTCCCCAAGTCCACTGATAGGGGAGGTCCTCCTTCCCTTCCATCTGACCCTAGCTTATCCAGTCTCATTAGGACTGTCTGCCTTATTTTCCTCTTTTAATACATCACTAATTATCAGGGAAACCCAAATCAAAAATCACAGTGATGTGTTACCTCACCCAGTAAAAATCACTAACAAGTGCTGGACATGAAGAGGAGAGTAAGAAAACCGTTGCCTACCATTGTTGCTGCTGGTCATGAAACACAGGCGTTATGAAAACTTGTGGCAGAGATTCCTCAAAAAATAAAAATAGCATATGATAAGTGCCACTACTTATTTTATTTCTAGTTATGTTGAAAAGACATC